TTCTCCATGAAGAAATGGCTTTTGGAGGCTCAAAAGGTATTATTCGTAATCAGCTCGTTAAGCTGAATCTGAATATGTATAATAATGCCAAAAAATTCCACTTGAAGTTTGCATTATGTGCATCTTATCCTTCTTTTAGTCGTAAATGCGAAAAGAAATTATATTTTCATATTCCATTAATTAAAGTGGAAGTGCATAAGAAAAAGTCTAGACAATTCGAGTTTCGCATTATAATGTACATAGGATAACAATAAACCACAACTGTGCGAAAAGAAAAAAAATTATGGAACAAGAGAGAAATAAAAGTGATTAGAATATTAGAAGGATATAAAGTCTTATAACATCGTATAATATCGAGTATCAGTCAAGAGTTTATATTATACTCAATTTTAGATTAGCTTTTCTCGCCAATATGGAGAAATCATCATTGTCAAAGACAGAAAAGTCATTATTATCAAATTTGTATTTTTCATATATATTATTTTTCATTTGTATTTTCTACCGATTATTTAAATTGGTCAACTATATTATTTATTTTATTTATTCTCACATTTATAATTATTCATCATATCTGTTAAATTTATGGCTTCTAAATCCATGGTTAACATCAGTTATGTTTATCATGTGTCTTATTGGTCTACCAAAGTTTATCTATTATGAAAAGAGAATATATCCAGTAATTAAACAAATAATTGAACCATTAATAAAACGACAAACACTCATTGGTATTCCATTATATGTTTTTATAATATCATTCTTAATTGAAATTTTTCCATTTTTAAAACAGCACCAAAAACAAGAAATTAATATTATTGTAGAAAATATCACCATTTCAACAATGTCATATGTGATATATTTAACTGAAATTAAAAATGGTCTCAATCAATATCGTATTACGAGTATTTTCTCGTGTACATTATTTTTCTTTGGTATTTATTCAATAATAACTAGTCGCTGGTTAAAATTTATTCAACATCGTTTATCTAGTTTTTTCATTATTATAAAAAAATATTTTTGTTATATTTTTATTTCATTTCAATTACCATTATCATTCACTATTATTTTATTATTAAAGAATCTTTATCAATTATTTCCTGTTGTCATTCATATGGAAAAGCCGACATTCTTTATCTTTATTTATCATCATTTATTTTGGTTAATATTAATTTTGACATGTATAACATTAACTGTAACCAAATGGATGAAACCTAAACAAAAATTTAAATTCAATAATTTTGGTGAGATTTATGTAGATGATATTAGTCGATTAAATTCAACTCGAATCAATGCCATATTTTATCCGCGAACAATAAATGATTTACAATATATTGTTAATAAAGCAAAATATAATGGAAAACATATCTCATTAAGAGGTCAAGCACATACAATGGGTGGACAAACATTACCATCAAATCATAATGATTATATTATCGATTTAAAATATATGAATCGTGTCGAATATAATGTTGAAAATGAAACAGTTTTAGTAGAAACTGGTGCAACATGGGCTCATGTTATTAAAAAATTAAATAATTATGGACGTTCGCCAGTTGTTATGCAATCATATTGTACATTTAGTGTTGGTGGTACAATTTCAGTTAATGCTCATGGTATTACATGTGATACAGCCATGTATGATAGTATATTGAATATTGAATTTATAGATGCAAATGGAGAATTAAAACAATGTAATTTAACAAAAAATAAAGAATTATTTTCTCTATTAATTGGTGGTTATGGTTTATTTGGAATTATGACCAAAGTTACATTAAAAACGGTTACAAATATAAAAACATCAATGGAATACATAAGACTTGATGTCAGTAAATAAATTATATAGAAAAATAACTATAAAATAATTTAATATCTTTTAATTTAGGCAGAAAAATTTCCAACATATTATGAACAATTTCTTAATGATGAAACAATTGAAATTAAAATTGCTCGAGTCGATATTGTACATTCAAATAATATTTTAATATTTCTATTTCGTCGTAAATTAACAACATCAGGAACAATTGCTAATTTAAATGATGAAGCTCGTGTTATGAATTCAAGACAACATTTAATTTATACTTGGTTATCTCAACGTCGACTATTTAGACGAATTCGTTTTGCATTTGAAAAATTATTTCATCGACCAGCGGATTTAGTGGTATCCGATGATCGTAATACAATTATGTATGAATCAGCAAAACCAATGGCATTACTCTATCAACCATTTGATATAATTGATGATACATTTCTATTACAAGAATATTTTATTCCAACAATAAATTTTAATCAATGGTATAAAAATATGCAAAAAATTATTCATAAAAATTATGATCATTTATTTTTATTAAATTTAACAATTAGATTTGTTAAAAAAGATAATTTAACATTTTTAGCTTATACAAAACAAAATGATTGTTTTGCATTTGTCTTCTATTTTCGAATTAAACGAAATAAATTTGGTGATAAACAAGCATATTTAATTCATCAAGAATTAATTAATTTAGCATTTGCATGTAATGGTACATTTTATTTACCCTATCGTCAACATTATACAAAAAATCAATTAAAATATGCTTATCCAATGATCGATGAATTTTTTATTAAAAAAAATTATTATGATCCAATGCAAATATTTTCAAATTTATGGTATCAAACATATGGACAACAAAATGTATGTATATATTATCTAATAAAATATATTTCTTATCTCATGTATTTTAGATTGAATTAATAACAGAACATGTTAATAAACAATATGATAAAACAATAGATAATAATGAATTAATAAAATTAGAAGATGAAGAGTTTATTGTAGTTGAACAACGTCGTCATCATTCATTTGAGCATGTTATTATTGATGATGTACTTCGTCATAAATTTCGTAAATTTCTTCGTACTGTATTTAATGTTGAACCACCACATCTTCTATTTAATTATGTTAATCGAGCTGTACGTAATCCATCAAATAAAAATGATTATGATATCTATAAAGAACTTGAAATTGTTCTCAATACAAGACAATTTATGTTTTTAAGACGTTTGTATGTATATGTGAAACAAATAATTCAATTAAGAATACAAATGAAAGATATTTTACGTCAACAATTAACTATAATTAAATATTTGGGCTATTATGGACAAGTAAGTTGTACAAAAATTGCCTAAATAAAATATTATCTTAATTTATCTATCTCATTTTAGGTTAATGATATTGTTGGTATCGGTGATGGTGGTCGTAATATTAAATATTTACGTTCATTATTAAAAATGAAGGGGCGTACATATATTTTACATGATAAACAACGTTTAGGAGATATCATTGAACGATCGAGTATATTTCCCATTGGTACATTTATTCCGTTTGATATTAGTTCATTTGATGATGTTCCTATTCCAAGTGATTCTATTGATATTGTTAATTGTTATATGGGTCTACATCATTTATCACAAAATCAATTAAAAATATTTTTAAATATTATTAAACGAATTTTACGTCCGAATGGTCTATTTTTTTTTCGTGAACATAATGCCTACAATGAACTTATACCCTTATTAGATGTGGCTCATTCTGTTTTTAATGTTGTCACAAATGTTGAATTTGAACAAGAAAAATGTGAAATTCGAGCATTTCGAACAATCGAACAATGGCGTTCATTATTGAGACAATCAGGTTTTGAAGATACATTTATATATGATGAACAAGAAGATGATCCTACTGATGACATTATGTTAGTATTTCGAAAACCAATTATTTTAAATCTTGATCAACAACAATCACAACAGCAAAATATTAATAAATCAATTATTTCTGATATAAAAATTCATGTTACACCCGAATCAAATTATTTTCGACCATGTGAATGGTTAGTTGTTCGAATAACAATATTATTTGGATATTATTTATATCATACACCATTCTATTATTTTCCTTTTACAAAATATCTTTCATTATATTGGTCATTATGCATTACAGAAACACAATTGGCTATTAATCAATTTGGTGCAAATAAAGTCCTTTTATCCGGTGGTTTTGTAATGAATGTTGTTGCTGGTCTAATTTTGAGTATATTCTTTCTACAATTTTCATTTTTCGCATTTCTTATTCGTTTATTAGCAGCAAGAGTCGATCCTGAGTATGAACAATTAATTATAAAAATATCAAATGAGAAAGAAAATAATTTTGACTTTATAAATGAAATTGACGAACGTATTGAACAAGTGAAGTTGTTAAATAAAGATCATTATGCACTACGAATACCTCGACATCGACCATTCAGTGAAATAATTGAGAAATTAGCATTATACGATAAAAATGTTCAATTTGATCTACTATTTATATCAAATGAAAATGGTTTTATTCAAATCGAGTTAAATATAAGTAAGTCTAACAGTTTAAAATGGCTTAGACAACAGGCAAATATTAATGTTATCTATGAATTTAAATATCCAAGTGATAAAGACGAATTGAATCAAACACAAATCATTATTCAATTAAAAATTGAGCATTTATTTCAATTTATTAGACAATGTCAACTTAATGATAAATCAATAAAAATTACTCAAGTTTATGATTATTTTGACTAATATTTAAAAGTAGTCCTATTAACTAATTATTTAACTAATTAATATTTTAACTAATTAATTACATTACTCTTTCCAACACTATACAGTTTTTCAGTTAGTATAGAATAAGAGATTTTTCATTCAATAATTATTATTTTTATAAAATACATATTACATAGCTCAAAAAAATTTTAAATTGTTCCACTTTAGTGTTTGTCTGCTCATCATATCCTACTACAATTGAAACTATTGAATGGTCTTCGTGTTTGTGGCAAAGGTGCAACCGGTACCGGTATGAATTATAAGGCCGACCGGTATACCGGTATTAGTATGAAGTATAATCAATCGGTCGACATTACATAAAAAACAAACTTTTATTTATACAAAATATTGATTCAGACTTTAATTCAACTGACTCACATTCTGAATGATTGTAAATAAAGTTCACAGTAAAGAAAAACAAAGAAAAAGTGTTTGTATTTAGGCAAAACACGATCAAGACAAGCCGGTACCGGTACGAAGTTTGTATACCGGTGATCGATACCGGTATCGCATTTCTGATACCAGTTACACCCCTGGTTTGTGGAAGACAAACATGCATGGGTTGTTTATTCAGTGAAACTAATTTAAATATCTTTTTGACCTCTTTCCCCGTTGACTGCTGCTTTTCTTTCTTGAAGTCATCTTATGGTTGCTCTGTGTTCGACAGATGCTGATTTCACAGTTTTTATCACAACATCACGAGTCAATTTTTCATGCGACTTGGACTCGAAAAAGCGGTGACTCACCCACCTCTGGTATTAACTCGTACAAAGATTACCCTCTATAAAACGTTTTGAATCATTTATACCGGCTCCAATACACAACAGCATGCCTGCTATTATATGTATGAAAACTTTAGATCGAGCGTCTTGCGATGATGTCGACAGTTGAAATCTCACGTCCTCACAGCCTATCTTCTAAAGCCTTGTGTAGGTTACGTGATATGCATGTTTTTATTTTCCTTCTTAATATAGTTCAATATTGTGGACAAAAATACGCTCTATTATACGATATAAGCCATGATGATATCGATATAAGAGTACAGATGTGCGTTTTGTATGTAACAAGGGCTATTTATAGAGAATCCATGTGCCCAATTTAAATTAACGTAGCTAATGTCAATTGAACCTGAGATAGACGTATAGTGGAACGCACGTATGCTGAGTTGAATATACTACAAAACCAAACAATAAGGTACTTATCTGATCAATAATCGGGCTGTTTTTCATAGAATGATCATACTGAACAGTGAGTTCTTAATGTTGATAAAGAAATGTTATCGAATAAAGAACAAAAGCAAAGGACATCAGTTTTAAATCTCTATTATTCGCCGAATTAGAAATGGGACAATTTAAATCAGGTGTTAACCATTCTTCACTTCCCACACAATTTTTACATGTGAATAAACCTGATGGATCAATTTCATCCTTGATCATTTTTAAACGGGCATAATTCGACCCAAAATAGGCATCTTGCCAATTTGGTTCATTGGGATCGGCTTCATTTAAATAACATCCAGAATTTGGTGTAAGTTGACGCATTGCTTCCACTCGACCTGTTACATCATTAGCGACACGTTTTTGTTCATCCATACTTGATATATCATCCCAAATTCGGGCATATACAATATGAAATAATGCATTACGCCATGCTGGATTAACTGATGTATTCTGATCATTAATATTCCCATTAGCTACTTGTCCACCAGCAACAAGATGACCAATGAGTACACTTTTCATAGCCATTCTACCTTTGATATTTATTAATGTTTGAGCTACTTGATCGGGATTGTTGTGTATTAATAGTTCAGGAATTAAACGAGAGCCTAGTAAAACATTTGAACCAGTTGGATTTGCTGGTTCTATAATATAATGAAAAAATTCATAAAATGATGTAAACGGAACAATATTTTCGGTAATATTCATTTCCGTATGTTTGCTTAATAATTGTGTAAATGTTGTATTTGCACTAGAAACATTTCCATTTGGTAGAAAGTACGCTATTTCAATATTTGTGTCGGTCATATAAAAGTATCCGGCCCATCCTAAAGCGTCTAATGTGGTGTGATATCGAATAAAATCTGTTATGAAATTATTGTACATAGTCTCATTCTCACTGTTAACACTATAAAAACCAAAAGTAATTGTTGGCGATGCGAATGTTCGATACGTTGCAGATATCAAAATGCCAAACGTTCCTCCCCCTCCACCTCTCAATGCCCAAAATAAATCTTTATTTTCACATTGATTTGCAATACGTACTTGTCCATCCGCCGTGACAACTTCAAATTGTAAAACATTATCGGCAGATAGACCGTGGAGACGTGCCAGTGGTCCATGTCCACCACCTTGAACAAAACCACCTGCTGCGCCCACCGACCCTGCTGCTCCACCAATCATTACTAAATTATATGAGTTGAGAAACGCATACGCTTCACTCCATTGAATACCTGCACCAGCAGTCATTGCCACAGAAGAAACGTTTGAACAGTTAGTCAGTGTGAAATTAAAGTTGAGTGAAATGTTTTTCATATAATGAAGCCATAAGAGAAATGAACCTGCGGCTGTTGATCGTCCAATATAATCATGTCCTGTAGTTTTGACTACTAAACGTAAATTATATTTACGAGCAAATTTGACCGATTCTTGAACATGAAGTATAGAGGTTGCATTCACACCGTATACGGGTACCGATCCTTGATGACACTGTTGTTGATAAGTAATCGTACATGATAGATTTCCATTTGTTTCCCAGTTTGGATTTTGCATGGCACCTACTTGATTACTCCGCCATTGAGCATTTCTCCACTGAGCTCTTGTTGAATTACATTCTTGACTTAACGATGAATTATTATAACATGGGCTAGCTGATGGTAATGGTCGAAGTAACCGGCCATCTATAGATACATTAAATAACTCCCACAATGTAGGATTTGGCCAACAACCATCATTCGGAAGACAGCGACATGTTTTTTTATCTAAAACAGAGATTAGATAAATCATGAAATATACTTTTCTGAAACGAAGGTTAATATATTGAAAGTCTATCTTACCAGCGAATGTTGAATGATAGAAAAGGAGAAAAATTGAAATAAGATTAAAATAGAACATTTGCCGATATGATAAAATTATAACATACAAGAACGAATTTTATATGCATACGTTTTACCTTTACCGACATTTTAACGTAATCATGCTACCCCCTATATAACTGACCCACATTTATTAGGTTGGTTTAATAAATATTTATTTTTCGTACGTGGTGTTTTTTCTTTACCAGTAAAGACACATTGGTTTATATTGATAGTTTTACCATCAAATTACCACAACAACTGGATTCAATTTGTGCGCTGTCCGGTTATTTTCCGATCTCATCCTGTAGAAAGAACTCATAAGTTCAAAAGCCAGTTTTTCATCAAGATTTTGGCCAAGATTGATAATGTCAACCTCGTCCATGACCCTATGTCAATGTGTTAAACTTCTTTCAAGAACGTTCCTTGATCAGAATGTTCTTTGAAATGAGATGAGTAAGATTGATTTTGGGTTTCTTGATACTTCCAGTGTTGGACTACCACACAATTATATTAAAAAACAGTACTGCAGTACTAATTTCTACATTTTTTTGTCATATCATGATAATATGTCAATATTTTTGTTTTGTTCTCGGTTTGTGATAACAAAAGGTTGATGACTCAATATGTAGTTGAGAATAAAACTGCGAAGTAAACCATTGATTGAATACAAACTTTTTTAACGATTAATCATGGAAAAAATGTAGGCACAAGGTAAAGTTTGCATATTCAAAATAAAATGAAATAACATCAATGGTAAAATCTATCTCAAATAATCAGACGTCACGCAGCATATAGACTATTCATCATACATATATTTGTTTAACACAGTTCAAACATTATCATAGGTTTAAAGGTAGAATCAAATAAAAATTGACCCATCATTTGTTATTTAACTGATACCTTACATTGTTTAACAACATTGTCTTTCTATAAATGTACGATAACTATCATTTCATCTGATTTTCCAAAGAAAGGAAGAAGAATATCCCGTCTTGCGACTACTACTACCGGTAGTCGCATGTTGATAAAGGTTAGTTTCAATAGCTCGATATACTCCTACAGTTGACAAGCTTCTGATATGGTCACTCATATCTGTTAGTCGACAGAAGTTGTTGTGGCACTTGCCTTTTTGTGAAAATTTTCTCGATAGAGTCATGTTTCGCTTGTGTCTAAACATAAATGAGGAACAGTGAAGGGATGGTGAGGTATAATATATAATTTAGTGAGTACGTGTTAGTAGTCATCAATAGGCCTGTAAAAATTCACGTTTCGTTCTTTTAACGTGAACGCTAAAGTACGTTGGCGCTTCTGGAACGTGAACTCTAAAGCATTGGTGGGCGTGAGCTTTGTTTATACGAACGGTGTTCATATTGTCTAAAGTAAATATAAAATCCTGTTCTTGTACTGCAGTAAGAACATATATATTTCTGCTTGGTCTTATCTGATCAATAGAAACTCTAGTGAACGATCAGATAGTCTGCTCAGGGCAGTGACCAGATTACTGTAATGTAAAAAGATAGCCATTGATTCTCTGATCAAGGCATTGATTTTTCCAAGATCGCCGATTTCCTGACCAGGAGACTAGTTTTTCCTGTAGTGGAACCGAAGTTCCTTGGTCCAAACCATTTCCGTAACTATATACTTTTTACTTTATTCTCGTAACCCATTTGGGAGCTAATGAGCGTTGATTTTTTACTAAATATAACTGGCAATGGAGAAAGCTGTTTCACTTGATACTACTAGGTGAAATTGCTATATAACGTTTTGCAATACTATGCATTCCCCACAAGATCAACACCGTTCATATAAAATAAAGTTCACGTCCATCAGAACACCCGCGTTCACGTTCAAAGAACGTCATGGTTAGCGTTCAAGGAACGCCAGCGTACTATAGCGTTCACGTTCAAAGACAATGGTAAAAAGGAACGCTGAACGTTTACAGTCCTAGTCATCAATTGTAGATCTGGGCAGAAGGTTAGCTAACTTGAAGAAACTTCATTGTGCGTCACAACGTAGTGATTATCTATCAGGCGGATGATCGGATGCACTAAGACATAGGTAACTTGTCCAATATTATTACACTATTCCACGGTGCTGAAGTTCGGACGCAGTATCTCTAGAGTGTTTGACGCCGTACAACGTAATCACCAAGTTACGCTGTCTTCCATAGACCAATAACAACATTCATTTGAGCTATATTATCACAAGCAAAGTTTGTCTTTCGAAAACATTCTAAATACTGGTTTTCTATAAAATCTTTTTCCAGACGCCTTAGGATTTCTCAATTCATAATCCAGTCAAGATCCATCCAAATTATGTCAGAATGTCAAGATGTACTCTATTTTACCTGCTCAATAAAATGCTATGCAGCGAAAATAAAAGCTTTAATATCAACACAAAATACTTTGGTTCTTGAAAAGCTTTTTTTGTTTAACTTTCACCCTCATCTCTCCAGTCCAAAATGGCACTGAAATCGGGTTACCCCACTGCATCTGTGTCCAAAGGTACAGAGACAATGAGTATTAGATAGCTTGTTCAACACTATCGCACGACCGCCGCTGCTGGGATTCGAACTCCGTATATTTGAAGTACGTTGTCTGCTCACTAGCCGCCTGGGTCACTGCTGCTCAAAAGGTTTTCTAGAAATCTTTCGAAGTACAAGGATGTTTTTTACTATTCTCAAGTAAAAAGTCGTTTGGAGCAAGTAAAACAGAGTATATCTTGATATTCTGATATAATTTGGATGGATCTTGACTGGGTTATGAATTTTTTGATTTTACTCAAGAATAGGCAAAAATAGAATATTTCACCTAATATACGTTTTCACTAGGCTTTTGAAAAGTTTTTGAAACACAAATGTTGCCACAAGGTTCAGCATAGCCGACCACCTATGTTTCCATGCATTTCTGACAGTCTAAACCTAACGACAGAAGAGTCCTAAAGCTTCGGGAAAAAGGTCCGTAGCGCCCGAACTAAGCAAAACTAAACTTTTTCTTAGACCTTATATTGTACACGACACTTCGAACGAAAAAAGAATGATAGTTTACTATGTCGGTTTCTGGAAATCCGAGCTGGTTTTCCCAGGAGCTTGTGGAAAACCGATATTTGGAATGTTTTCGAAAGACGATTTAGCTTGTAAAAAGCTAACTATAGCTTAAACTATCATCTTTCGATTGCTGAAGACTGCACGTTTCTATCATTTTCTATCAAAAGTTATTTAAAAAACAACCGCGGCCACTGTTTCTTTGGATGGACAATAGGCGTTTGTAACGCACGAGTACGAATTGGAAAGTAATGCGGATGTCATTATACAGGCTCTTTATTTTATTATTCCGTGCCCTCTCCACTACATATTGGGCACTTTTAGCTTGTAATTTGGATATCAGAATTCTTTTGTAAAATTTATAGATCGTTATCGTTCTCCAGCTACAACTTTAAAAGCGAAAAACAAACATTTTCAAAAAAACTTAATTTTTTTCAAAAATCGTCCTATGGCAACATCACCGTGAAAAGTTTGATTGCTATATTTTTCATTGAAAACTTGTTGTTTTATACATGGATCGATGTAGTTTAAGGCTGATCTCGAATATATTTGTTTTGACTGAGCTGAGAGAAATGGATCATACGTGAAAAAATATAGCTTTTTAAAAATCTCTCCTAAAGCCTCGAGTATTTTTGCGCTATTCTTGTAAATATATTGTGAATAGAAGAAGATTTGTACAAACTTTCAGCGAGAAAAAAACTTCTGTAATTTTAGAAGATTACTATATTGGAGGCATCATTTTCGAACATTTAGTTAATGTGAAAAATACTGATTTTCTCTCGTGTTTTCAGTCCAAACATAAGTTTCTTTTAAAATGCTCGTAAATGACTTTCGCTTTATGCAGAAGTCTCACTTAATCGTTAACTCGATGAAACAAATTTTATTTCACGTCGATATGGTGATTTTGGACCTCTTTTTGTTACACGAGTTTTCCCAAGACTCAATCACAAAAATGTTGAGAAAAAATAGCCCATACTACAGCAATTATTCCTCACTATTCGAAATAAAAATAATGAAGTTTCATTCATTTTAACTAAATGTGCACATCATCGTGCACCGTGTAGCACTGTCCACGCCATCGTTTCTTCAATTTAGTTATTCTTTCGTTGTCAATTAAACATGTACATTCTATTGGTTTAATTATTTCAAAATAATTATTTTTAGAATCATCTATATCATATTAAAAAAATATAAAAATAATAAAAGAAACTAGTTAAATATTTTTGTACACAAAAAACATTTGTTTCAAAGCTTCTTTTGTGTTTCTCTCTATGTTAAACAAAAACCACTGTAATAACAAGAAAAACCATTGTCTAACACAAATAAAAAATGAAAGGTAGAAAAAAAAAGTAACCGGATTCACTTTATATTCTATTCGTTTGTTTTGATTTTTTCAAAAGTAGACAAAAAAGGTTTGTCATTTGATTAATTTCTAAGTATTTTATGTTTTTGTTTTCTTCATCTGTTTATTCTCAGTTTTTGATGGTAGATTGGGCAACATGTCCAACGAGATATATGTTATCGTACAAATGACCAGCTAATTCATCATTTAAATCATTTACAGCACGTCTAGTATTTCGGATAAATTCGCGTTTTGACATTTTGTTTTTAACATGTGGACTGGTTAAGTCAATAGATAAGAGAATAAGAGAAAAACATAAAACATAAATTGTCTCTAAAATTAACAGGAGAAAAACATGACCGTTAAAAAATTGTCGTAGAAGATTCTGTTAGTGCATTTAAGTGGTGAAGTATTTGATTCCTAAAAGTCACTGTCAGGCTCCGTTAAAGATATATTGCACTAGGCTAAACGCTAGATAGGTATGGAAAAATTTCTTTGATGAGGTGGTGGGCCGATTTCAAGTCTTGTGCCGACCTGTCTTTTTTATTAGTCCGTGATATAGTTTTGCTTAACGCTAAAGTTAAATCCCTACATTTGAAAATTTATTTTTTTATACTAATAATAAAAATTGTCGTAGAATATTTTGTTAGTGCATAGTCAACTTTCTACAAACTACTCTTGATATATGCAATAGAAATTTGGAACTCAAATTAACTTCAGACATCGTCCTTCAGAATACGATATAGTAAATTTTCCACTGAATTGGTTGTAAAAGAAAGCCTCATACGTTGTTCTATTGTACTATTGATTCACAACACACTCATCACGAGTGGACTCATCTGCATAAATCTTCAAGAACTTTTTTATCTTGCATAGTTGGAACTTAATTTTGCCTTTTTTCTCCATTATTCAATTCTCTATAAAATCGTATAAAATCTCTCTTTATAACACGTAAGGGAAACCGATTCGATGGAAAACTATGCAAAACGTTGAAAGAGACAAATTTTAAAAGGAAAAAAAACAAGTTTTTAGATTTTACTGACTGGTAAGCGATGGTATAAAATAAACTAACCGGTCTGTAGCGCTTGAAAAACTCGGTCTTTCAACGGTAAACAAATTTTCTCACGTCAACATTTGTCTCGTGAAAGAAATTTTGTTTTTACATTTTTAAAAAATAAGCGTTTCCGATTGATATTTTTGATCCATTCAGTGAAATTCATGTAATTTTACCAAAAATTAATATTTTTAGCTCAGATTTTATTTCATTTTGTAGGGATCTTTGATAATTTACTACAAAAGTTTGAATAAAGTTTTTTTGTACATAGTGTCTGCAAATAATCAAATTGTAGCTGATTTTGACCTAGTTTAAAGAAGTCAACTTTACTGTCATATAATAAGATGGACCTTACGTTACATAATGAAAAAGAGTGTATTCAAAAATATATAAACATTTTCTCTAGCACTTTTTGATACTAGTAATTTTTAAAAAGATCGAAACTTTTATGATAAAACACGCTTAAAAGTTATTGATTGTGGAACTTTGTGTAATTTTCTATCAAATTTTTTTCCCTTATCAGAAATTTGATAGGATTTTGCAGAGAATTGAAGAAAGAAACATAAAAAACATTTTAAAAAATTAAGTTTCGATTCTGAAAGATAGAAAGTTCTTCAAGAAATATGTAGTGTTATTTATACTCGTTAAAAGGAATAAATCTCGTCAAAAAGTTTAAGAAAAATCTTTTTTATTTACCTGCTGTTAAACCGATTTCTTTGTTACATTCACAAAATCTTTTGGAAAAAGTTTCAATTAATACACTTAAATATTCATTTCTTTCTTCAGGAGCATCTAGTTTTGCAAAAAAATTTCTTAATGCATTTGGAAGAAATTGATTTTCATACGATTGTAATTCAATCAATCTTTCCAAGACATCTCGTCTGAAATGTTAAACATTGTGAGTAGTTTAAGATTTCAGTTCAGCATCAATCTTTAATTACCGATTTTGTAATAATTTTCGTTTTTCAGTTATTTTCAATTTTCTTGTATTATGAATAAATTTGCCTATTTCCATAGCGTCATCATCGATTAGGTTGTGTTCAATAAAATAATTTAGGCCCTACCAACACAATACACAGAGGAAATAAATAGACTTTTATTGTTTTCAACTAACCTGTGCATAATTTGCGTTGAATGTTAAGGTACCTTCATCTAATGCTAGATATATTCGTCGAAATGAAATATTTTCACGACGTGCTCGAGAATAAATCGATGCATAGGCCCAATTTGATCTACACAACCTAGGAAATAAAATATTATTAATAAATTGTTGTTCTGTCAAAAGAAATCGATATTCTTACCCCAGCCATAATATTTCATCATTAGCTAGTGTTTGCCATACACACGCAGCCAGACATAAATCAGTCGCGTTGAGATGTTTCAATATATTTAAACTTAATTCTGGTGGTAACTCAAATAAATCGGGAAATTTTGAAACTATAATAAAAAAATATTTAATGAATTCGATTTTAATAAAAGTTAACGGATGCGAACCTTGATTACTGCCCTGTAACGGATCTTTTAATCTTTCTAAAACTAGTCCCATATGTACCAAATTATTGCTTGCAGATCAAAACATTTTGAAAAACGAATGATGTTTTTATATGAACAACTGAACTCAACCCTGTGGCGTTTATTGATGACGTGGACAAGTTGCACGTTGGCAGTACTCGTCGGCACGATGATGCTGATGACACGCACGCATATAGAAAGAAAACATTCAATTCAACTTTCAGAATAAAATAGGTAAATTTTTTCTTTCGGTTTTGATTGTATAGGATACATTGTCGCTTTTTCCGTCAAAAACAGATGCTTTTGAATTTTGAGAAAAAGAAACGCTGATTCATCAAGTCATGAAACATCCATTGGCTAAAAGCTTCTAAGCAATCAAAATCGTATAGATGTCATTGACAAAAGGAGATTTTCTGTTGAAACTGTGCTAAAACTACAGTTTTATGAAATATCTCACTAATATTAATTAAAAAACATATCTCACGTTAGTCTTTATCGTCATACTCATTTTAATATTGTTTATTCTGTACTCTCTCTTTTGTTTTTCTGCATATTTTTTTGGATTAGCACTTTCAGATGACATGACCCGTGAACCATCAGTCTGTTTGCTCCAGCTCTAATAGATAGATAATTTATTTGTGATTAATATAAGGAGGATCCAAGCAATACTTTGTACAATTGTATTATAGTATTTTGCTATTGATGCATAATAAATAAACATAAGAGAAAAACTTTTTGTACATGATTTCTCAAATAGTGTAAAGATGTATGAAAAAAAGTCTCTTATTTCGTGCACTTCTAGTGCGTGGCAAAAGTGATCATAGAATAATTTAGCTGCTGCAGATTTCCCCGATGAAGTAAAGGTATTGACTAATTTGGAAAGACATTTGATAGCAATTCGTGTATGAAAATGGGGTGATCCTAGAGTTGATCAAAAAGGGTTGTAAAGACCTCATAATCTGTGTTCTCTCTGATGTACAAGATACTGCAAACATTTTGTTTCGATATCCGAGTAAAACAACTTTTATTTGACTTAAATTGAAACGTCGTTTAAACTTTTGTTGATATTAGAAATATCAAACTATTCGGCCTGATAATGTTCGCTCTGCTTTACGTGTTTTACAAAAACCTAAACAAATAAAAAACAAAAAAAATAAACGAATTTTACAAAGATATTATGATCGAAGAAATGAAAAAAGACTACTACTATTTTAACTGGGGCAAGCCTCTTCTAGCTGAAGTAACGAACCAAGACAGTCAGAGATAAGAATCAGATGAAGACAATACAGAGAATAATGAGCTATTTAAGGATGAAAAGGACGATCAAAACGACTCAAGAATAAAGATATATTCGCAATCAAGAGATTCAGAGGTTTACACAGACTTGAGGAAACCATAATATCTGTTCATAATATCTGCCCCGGCTGAAAAACATAGATCAGCATCGTTGCTGTTAAGGCGGATTTTCTGGTCGTAGCTGAAGTTGGTTGGACAATTAAGTCATGATTGATTGTTAAAAATGCCGCGATTTCGTCGATATGAACCTTAATCAGAAGAAGATTAGTAATAGTGTGTATTAGTAAAAGGGTTACTGATATTTTTCAGCAACTAGAATTTTATGCAAATTTGGCTATACAACCTATTAAGTATGAAAAACGGAGTTGTCATGGTCAACGCGTACGCCGAGCAAGCCTAAATTTGGTATACTATGTGATGGTAACAAAATTAATTGAATCTTTACCTTTAAGCGTCTTTGCACATTAGGGACGACCGAAGTTGCTCAATCAATGTCTGAGTTTTTTTGTTCCTATTTTCATAGTAGGTAGCAGCGACATATTTAGGAAGATTCCTAAAAGTTTTTGGTCAGAACTTCCTTCCTTCAAAAGTTATGGAATTTTTCGTAAAAGCCCTACAAACAGGCTGAAGCAATAACTATGTAAAAGCGAAATTTCTTTTGTTTATATCTAGGTCTAGGAAGTAGATCAAGAGACCATATTTGGAGCATAAGTAGTCGAGGTCGAGTCAAGAATCAAGAGCGTGTGCAAAAGTAATTGTCGCACATATGGGAATATATACGCACAACAAGGAAGAATTTTACCAGCGCGAAGACTGAACAGATTTTGCTAGGAACTGTTGTAATAAACCAGCAAAACTGAAGTCGAATATGCCATAAATCCAAAAAGCATAGTCTGACAGTCTGACATGAGTACTGATCATTGGCATCTGAGCGCCAAAATTTCCAGAGGTATCGATTCTCAAACAGGCCATTTTTCATTTTCTATTCCCTTCTGAGCTCATCCGTACAACAACCAAAGGATTTGTACGAAGTGAATTCATAGTTTATAGTAGAGATACACTTATACAATAGATATAAGTGATATTAAATGCAATAATATATTTTTCAGGTTAAAAAAATTATGCGAAAGTCTTCGCGCTGGTAAAATTCTTCCTTGTTGTGCGTATATATTCCCATATGTGCGACAATTACTTTTGCACACGCTCTTGATTCTTGACTCGACCTCGACTACTTATGCTCCAAATATGGTCTCTTGATCTACTTCCTAGACCTAGATATAAACAAAAGAAATTTCGCTTTTACATAGTTATTGCTTCAGCCTGTTTGTAGGGCTTTTACGAAAAATTCCATAACTTTTGAAGGAAGGAAGTTCTGACCAAAAACTTTTAGGAATCTTCCTAAATATGTCGCTGCTACCTACTGTGCAAATAGGAACAAAAAGATGCAGACATTGATTGAGCAACTTCGGTCGTCCCTAACATGCAATGGCTCTTAGGTACCTAGGATATTGGGTAACATCAGAGGTGATCCGAGCGGTGGAAGGACCCGGTGGAAAAAACATCAAGATTAGGTTGGGGCTGTATGATTGCTAAGACTAAAGCTAAAATTAGGAAACAGATGGCTATAGTTGGTTCTTGCCGTGTTTTGGGTTCGACGAGTGACTATTTTAGGCGTGTCTTATTCACTACGTTCGCTCTCCCCATTTTTACTTGTCGTTTTTCTATGTTCCCCCTATTTACGCCCTGTTAACAACAGGAGCCTGTTTCTCAAAAAGACTTAAGTTTTGCTTAAGTGAAAAATTTGACTTAAGTAAGATTATTTTGCTGAGTGAGTTTCTCGAAAGCATCTTAACTTAAGAGGCCTCTCGACCACCCGTACATTTTCACTTAATTTTTTAAGTGAAAAACTTATTTATAATTTGTAACTTCTTTATTTTACGTTTTTTCGTAGTTAGACCCACAATAATTAGGTAGAAAATAATTTTAAAAGGGTTTTGCTCAAAACATTTCATCAAAATAATCTAAATTTGTTAAAATATGAGTGGCTTTTACTGCATGACCTCTGCTTAACTTAAGTTTTTTTGAGAAACGCACTTATGGGGAAACTTAAGTGTCCCTTAAGTACTACTTAATTTGTGCCTTAAAAATCCACCTAAGTCTAATGCTTAAGTTCTTCAAAAACAGGCTCCAAGACCGAATGCAATTTTATTTTGTCTTAAAAGGATTTATCATGTAACACAATTAAATGACATTCTCTTTTCTCATTACTATGTCATTACTATATCGTTAGAGGATAGATGCGCTAAGTACTGGAAACGATTCATGGCATCGCTGCTTACTTCAGCAGATGATGATATCCTAATGTAGCCGGCTTCCTTAAACGTATTTAGAGATCAATGGCTGAATAAAAATTATATTATCAAAAACATTTTTCGTTCAAAACGATTTATAGCACATAAGTCTGTGTCTGTGTTTGTCAGATGTGCCCAGTGGCTAGAAAGCAGTATCGAATATTCGCTACCTGACTCAGACAAGGATGACCTTGAACTACTGGAATTTTGCCTCGAATCTTTTTTATAGTTCAAATTTGTCAGATATATTCGGCGTGTTCTCTTTATTACATAGTTTTATATTGTGTATTCTATTTTCTTAGTTGTATTAATTAATTCATAGCAATTTTTTTTCGTGGCTCTCTTATTGTATTTTGTCTTAATAGGTCCACAAAGGGCAGTAATAAAGCATATATATATACAGTAATTTTGCATGCATCTCTTTAATGACTTTAAAAAAATGTATCCATATAAGTTTCTGATAAACGTAGCATGTGGCCTAATTTGGTCCAAATTCGGATACTTTACAATTGAAAAAAACAAATTTTTGTATGTCTATCGTGTGTTTTTACTTTTGTAATACCATTTACATTTGTCATATCAAAATCCAAAAAAGTGACATTTTCACTACTTGATATTTGACGCGAGTGGTCGGTCAATAGAGAATTTTTAACTATAACGTATGACTACTAAAATAATAGACTGAAATTTTAATCAAGGATCTAGTTATTGATCTACTGATTCAAATTAAAGTAATACGATAACGCCCTTTTCATTGTCTCCGATAAGTTTTTCTCAAGTCTACACTATAAAGAAAAGTTATTCAAATGATAAGTTAAACCTCATTTACACAAGCATTTATGATATACGAAAAAAATTTGGATGGACGAGTGAGTGTATCATCGGTATAAATTTACGAATGACTGAAAGTAAAACTTCGTATGATCGAATATCACTAGTATTAAAATCAGTTGTCGACAACAGATGACTAATTGGCAATGATGAGAGGGAATGCTTTCCTGTTTTATGAAACTATACTATAAGTCTTGACGACAACAAAATATACCTAGTAATAGACTATCGCTTACAAAATAGTATGAGCACTTTATCAAATAACATTATGAAATTTTGATCATGCATGGGATACCTTTAATCGAACGTAAGTCGATCTATATATCTGAATTTTCCTTGGATGATTTTATATAATTTTTGGAAGATTTTTCTTTGAAATTTTTATACAGAAATAAATTTACTAAATATAGTCCTAGAATAAGTACTTATGAATAATTCTTTAATTTGACGAACTACTAATATAAAATAGCAGTTTTCAACTGCAAACTGAATCGTCTCGTCAAATGATTCTCTTGAAATAATTATTGCAGATGTTTCGTTTAATATATTTCTGTTTATAAACAGGATTGAAATTGCTTTTAAATACAGCAAATGAACTATTGATGATAATAACGGTATTTTTTGATAAAATACTCTTTTTTGCGATTCATTTCATTGTTCCTATCACGAAATAATGTCAAACAGATGTATATGAGTAGAGAAAACATGTATTTCGATGTTTTCTGCTGATTTGTTCTTATTGATATTCTTGCTTTTATTCAAGATATTCAATGGCTCATGGATTTACTTTAGTGCTTTTTAAACTATCACAATATTTAATTTATTATTTGTACATTAATCTTAATGTAGAACAAAATACTGTAGCTAATTTTTCCGTGAAGATAGAATAAAATGTTGTTTGATTGGATTTTTATGAAACTAACAGATCTAATTAATATCCATAGTTCTGATATTCCCTTCAACATAAATTTTGAATTGTTCCTCTAGTACTTCACATGGCAAATCAATTATATCTAATGGTGTCTACGTTTGTTGAATCTTCAAATGTACTAGATTTGATATCTATTCCATTCAATATTTTTTATCAAGATAGAATTTTTGACATATTACAGGTGGCTGTATTTTTACTAATTTTTTTTATCGATTGGCAAACGATTCTATTTTTCATCTATGGGTTTAAACTTATCTGTAGATCGTTAGATTAGTATACCAAGATCATTTTAATTATTCTACATGTCCTTAATATGTCATAGGTAAATAACAAAAAATAATAATTTTGATAAAACAACAACAACAAAAAAAAAAATTTAATATTTTGGAATGTACTGAGATAAAACAAAACAAAAAAAGTAGTTTCTATTCGATCATATTTCTTGTCCACCGCATGTTGTCACCAATGTTCTATTACTTGAACGATAACACGCTCGAATCCATTGTTGCGTGTCATTTTGTATTCTCAAAATATGTTGTCTCAATTCCATATACGTTTTATCTAAATCTTGATTAATAATTAAATAATCAAATAGCATATGATGTCGACGTTCAATCGAACGACTTTGTCTCAAAATATCTAAATAATCATTGTGTGTTAAATGTTCTTTACGATCTAAATCTAAACGTTTTAATTTATCGATATTCGGTGCCGCTATACAAATAACATACGGAAATATATCCGTTTTTTCAAATGTTTGTAGAGCATCCGGATTTAAATTTAATACACATATTTTTCGTTTTTGATAAATAATTGTTTTTATTGACTCTTTTGTTGTACCATATAAATGTCGTTCGTATTCTCCGTATTCAACAAATTCTTTTTCATTGATTTTATCTAAAAATTCTTGTTTCGAAATAAAATGATAATCATGATGATCAAATTCAGTTAAACGTTTTTGTCGAGTTGTGTGAGGAATAGCAACATCGAATATAGTTGGTTCAGTTTGCAATAAACGACGACGTAATTCATGACGTCCAACATTTGGAGCACCTATAAAATAAAACGTCGTTTGAATAAGATAAATTTGTTTAAATTTTCAATTAAAAATACAAGGATCTAGTTTTTCTATTTGTATTTTTATCCTATTTTCTGAATAAATGATTCGTGCTATGTGGTCTGACAACATGAAGCATCGAAAGAAGAGCCAATCAAAAGCGAATGCACTTAAAAAGTGATTCATTTTTAAGAAATTTTTTCTAGTTTATATTATATCTGATGTTAAGAGCTTCCGAAATATATATTCAGAGTTTTCTGGCCATATCCGGTTACTGACATATCAGTATTTTCCCCAAAACTTGTATTACATAAGTAAACTAGATGAAGGAGGCATTTTCAGAGTCTGTAGACCATTTCAGCATTTTTTTGATCGATGAATAAATAGGAGACCCCAAATTGTGTCAGAAATCTATATATTACGTGAATACTACAACCACTTTTAGAATTTAAAGTCTGCTACCATAATAAACCGGTTTTGGAAAAATGCTTATATCTCAGTAACGACTTCTGGCTATAGAACTCTGAACATATATTTCGAAAGCGCTTGACACAACAGCCATAATATAAACTAGAAAAAATTTCTTAAAAATGAGGATTACTTTTGTGGATATCCTAGTCTGCTTTTGATTGCATGGGTCACCGTCGTGTAGCCACATACCATCTATAGGATGCGCCTATCGATGGTATGTGGGATTGAGATTCTTAAAATCTTCAACACAATTTCCTCATTGATTTGAGACGTTCGATCATTAGAAAATCATAAGAGAAACCAAGTGCAAAAAAAAAAGGTAGCTGAACGTTTATTTTGTAGTAGCACCGTTAGATAGCCAAATCGTGAATGCATAAGTAAATCGAATATAACTCACCTAATAAAATGATTGGTCTTGTCGTGAGAGTTTCATTAGATTCCGTTGAATGATGATATTGTAATAAGGATTTTGGATCATAACGAAATACCGGTTCATAAAATCGATAACTTGATGGTTCTGTTATATTAAATTCATCTAATAAAGAATGTTTAGATCTTGATTGATATTGTCTTGTGTCAGTTAATGAAAAATGATTTGTTGAATGCTGAATTGTTGGTATATCATCAAGTTTATCATCATTATCCATTCTCTCATTGTTACCACTATCATGTAAATATGAACGATTATTATATTGTATTGAATGAGTTATTGAACGTCGATTTCTTTGAATAGAATTACGATGACGTTGACCACGAACACATGTCATACAAGATGGAGTTGTTGTTTTTGTCTTTTTTTTTCGTCGTCGTCTTCCATATTTTTTTCCTGGATTTTCATTTTCTTCATCGCTATATAATTCATCATCTTCTTCAATTGATTTAAGTAAAGCTACACGTTTTTGTTGAAGTTTATCGGATGGAATTAAACCAGCTAGACATTTCATTGATGATTTTGTTTCGCGAAATGCTTGCCAAAAATCGTCATCTTCTCGACCAACTACTCTTAAAATATCTCCACGTTGAAATCTCAATCCTAATTCTTTACATGGTAACAACTGATCATCTACCGGCTCATAAGAAAACATGGCACGAATAAATAATGGTTTAATTAAAGATGTTTTTGGTGACGAAGATCCGGTAGATGATAATGTTGAAACAGAGTGTGTTCGAATTTTACTTGTATTTGTTAGCTGTTGATGTTGTTTATCAGGTGCAAGAAGAAACTTGATCATACCCGTACATTGTGAAAGTAACGTACATACATCATTGAGACGACGTCCTGTTACCGGTTTATCATTTACTTCTAATATTTCATCATTAATTTGAAATAATGCTGACTTGTATGCAGCACCACCGAAGATAATTCGAGCAATATGAATTTTTCCATTATCTGATCGAATCGTTAAACCCAATGGTTCAATACCTAAACAGTAAAAGAAGAAATCTTGATCATAAAGCATAGTAGAGTATTAGATAATTACCTTTTTCAATTTTGACAATTTTCAATTCATCAATTGCATATTGTGATAATTTTAATAGTTCATCATCATCATTTAAATTATTTTCTTTTAACATCTCTTCGTCAGGCAATGCGGCAGGTAAACGCATTTTTAATATTTGATCAAACGCTATCAATAAGTTATAAAATTCTTTACGTTTAAATAACGTTAGACAACTTTTATATTCATTAATTGTATCGAATAATGATGGTGAAGACGATCGAATAAAGCTAAAAGGGGAAAAGATAATATAACAAATAAAAATTTACAGATCGAAATTAATTGAAAATAAACGTCGATTCAGATCCTTAATTTTTTATTAATATTGAATATAGTTAAATGTAAATGATTAATACTAACTTTGCATCAAACATTTTCGTTTCTGTTTCATTTAATTTTGCTTCAATTAATGTTACAAAATCATCGACAATTGTTTTAAAATCATCGTTAATCTCATGAAACATTTCAATTGATTGATCTTTTGTTAACATCGGTAATAGATTCAATGAATTTTGAAATGTACCGGTTTGTGCTATTTCTCTCATACGTGCTATATCATGCCAATCAGATTCCATTAATAATATACTTTGTGCTAAATCCAATTTTGAATAAATATCATCAACTGTATCGATATGTGGAATTGGTGAAGATGATAATATTGGTGTTTCAATACTGGATAGTTTACTACTATTTCCACTACTTGATTTTCTTGTTAATACAGTTGTTTCTTCTTTTTGTTGTACACGTTTTGATGTACAATAGGCTTCGTCTTCAAAACACAAATTACTATTATTTCTTATTCGTTCTTGACTTATTTGTTCAAAATTTAAATCTAATGATAAACGTGAACGACGATGATTAGTTCGACGTAATGGATTTGTAAGACCACGTTCAAATTGTTTGTTCTGAACAGGAGAAAAAAAAGAGAAAAAGGTAACTAACTCATATTGACATTGAATATATATAGAAAAGGCTTTATGACATTTTAAACGATCATCATTATCATCATCATTATGAGAGAAAGGAAGATACTGTTTTGCGCGGTACAATACTTTAAATAAACCCTTGAAAATTGATATCTGATTAGATAATCATACAAATACAACCTTGAAATTTATTCTTTAATCATATTCAAGTCTTTAGCATTGAAAAATTTGAATATTAGACTATGTGTTCAAAAACGATGAAGTGTAATAGTCGGAATAAAAATTATTTTGATAAAAAATAAAAAATGTGTTTTTCTAACAGAATATAGAAATTTTCTAACTATATTACAGTTAATTATAAAGTCTATGAGCTAAGTTATACACAGGCAAACTTGCGAGAGGTTTTTATTTTTAAATTTCTACGCAATCAAAGGATTTTCAGTTATCTGACTTAATTTCAACACAAAACATATTATTTTATAGTCAACTTCAAAATATAATATCAACTCCGAATCTTATTCACAATTGATTATCAAGTTTAATACATGACTTGAATTCTACATTGATCGTACTTTTGTAAAAACAAAAACAAACGCAAGGACTTCATTTGAGTTAGTGATTAACTCAGATTATCTTTATCATCAAACAATATGTCTCATGTTTAATTAAGCATGACCTTGTTTAAAATTTTGATTTAGTATAAATAAGCATACTTGTTCACTGTTCATTTTATTCGTTGATTGTGAATCACTTATTATATTGGTACAATTTCTTAATCGTAACAATTCAATACATTGTGCGTTGACATTTATATTTTTGTAGTGATGTTGATATGATAACGATAATTTTTTATTTTGTTCATCATTATCTACAGTAGTACTTTTTATATGATGAAAAAAATCATCCATTATATGTTTAGGTTGAAATTTTGTTAACAGATATTCATCTGGAACATCGACTAGAAAATAATAAACAATAAAAATATTAAAAATGACTTGAAAACACATTATTTACCAGCTCGTTCTCCACCGAGCCACTGAATATATGTTTCCACATTTCTTGTTCGTGATGAAAACATAACACTTTTGGTTCGATCATCTGCAACCATTTTATTGACTAAACTTTCATCAATTACTGTCGGTTCTATAACATAAAAAATAAAAGCAAAGAATTTAAATAAATAAATCAAAAAAGAAAAATATCAAGATCAAGGTTTACTTCGCTAAGATGATGATAAACAATAAATAAATAAAAAATAAAAAGAAGCGCACATCGGAAGTAGAAAGTTTATTAATATTGGAAAGAAAATGTGGTCTGTGTCTAGATTCTCGAAAGTGTTCAATTATATCATTATCGGTAGAATAGAAAATATTTACTCTTCTTCTATATTCTATTGTACGGTATGAGCTCGATAAAATCGAAATAAATTGTATCTACAGATAGTAAAGTATACATTTATGAGAAAAAAAGTAATAGTGTGAAAATTATCGCGTCGATAGTCATAAAAGTCATCTAATTTGTTCCATATACTCTCTATACACTTGATCTGTAATTTGAAGCTTTTCCACTTTTTAATTATTAAGATAAATAAAGCAGTAAGTATTCTCAGACATGATAACTGTTTCTCTTCACGAGAGATTCAGCCATGTCGCTCTGTCACTTAACCCATTTGTGCCCAAATTTTTCTGAGAGTTGCAGAATTTTCATTGTGATTCCCATGGAGTACTTGGGGCTAAGAATATCGAATTTTATGGAATCTCATTTGTAAGTGCATTTTCACATGAAAATATTCACTGAAATAGTCTAAACAGTTAAATTTCTTTAGTACTTTATTCTAGAAAGAGAGGTAAGATAATGCATAGGATAGGATAGGGCTATATTTTACATGGTGTGGGTTCAAAATCAGTTATAAAGGCTATTGTTGAGTGACTGTAGATGTCCAAAATAATGATCATTGAAACGATCATTGGCCACAAACGGGTTAATTTCTAAAACAAAGTCAGAGTCGTATTGTGATGAATGGAATATTTCCAAACAAGAAGTCGACTGTAGAAAAGCCCTAGAGTGATTAATAATTGCTTACGATATTTAAAATTTATCTCACCACAGCTGAAAACTATCGAGAAATATAGAGTCTAACTAACATCATACTGTACAAAATTTTGGTTATTTTCTGCCATAATAATGTTCCTACTGTCTTTTTCTTGTTGCGCATCCTCACCCAATCCAGGCCAGTTTTTGCTACAAGAAAACCCCAATTTCATCTTCTCTATGTGTTAATAGGGTTGAAACTGTTAAAACAGCTGAAAAATTTGTTAGATAGGTTAAAAATTCTATTTTTTTTGCAAATTCCACCAGTTCTTACCAATTCTAAGGGATTTTTCAGCTGTTACAACAGTTTCAATTCTATTATTAGATGAAACTAGAGTTTTCTTGTAGCAAAACCTAGTCAGAATTGGGGCTCTTACTGGTGGCAAATAGTGTTTTTTGTAAGTGTTTGCTTGAAGCTAGTGCATGCCTAGTTCCAATATGCATTTTTTGTAAAGTGAAGTTAGACTATCGAATAGAAAAAATTCTATTTCAACGAAATTTATAAAACATTGTTGGTAAAGAGGCTGTAGATAATAATCTGCAATTCGATCTCCAGTTTTTTTTCCTCTATAAATTCTCTTCAGAAGCATAAGATCCACTTTAAAGTTGTACTAACGACTATTTATACTGTTAAGCGATAAGATGTACAAATTAATTACCTTTAGGCTTCTTCTTATTTGCACATATTCAATACTAAAAACTTTTAAGACTGTTTCTCTTATCTAAAACTAATAGACCATAATTCCTTTTAATATAAACAAACGAGATCAAGTTTATCTGTTTGTTTGAAAAGACAACGTGTCTCGAAAAGATGATCTTAGAAAATCTTTAATACAAACCTGTGACAAATAAATACACATGCTCTTTTTCTGATTTGACATGAATGTAATTATAAAACTAATCTAACTATAAATACACCAATGGCTTAAAGAAAATGATTGAAAAAACTAATTTTTTTATTAACAAAAATTCTTTGTTTGTAGTAATGTCTGACTTACAATCCTTTTCTCTACGTATAACACATTAAATTATCTACACTCATAACTCGAAGGGATGTATCTCACATAGTTGAAAATTGTATCCACACTCATACAAAAGAATTTTTCAAATTCTTTATTGAGCCTTACCTTCTTATTCATGACTTTTCCTTCTTATTGTTATTTAGTCCAATGTCACCGCTAGTGGACGCATTTTCTCTTTTTTCACACTTTCTCTTTCTTTCTCTCTTTTCCTGTATTATGAAATTGTTTTAAAACATAACAATAATAGTCTCAGCAGAATTCAACATAAACTACCCAAAGCATGCACGAAACATAAATTTAGATGTATAGATGGGAAATGTCTTTATGTTTATATGTACAAACTATAACGACACACAAGTGATATATCTACTGCTTCTTTCAATTCTATATGAGCGAAAAAGACGATATATAGCTACCTGTATTTTTTTATCCTCTTATCGACATGGTCACATATGAACGTTAAGAAAATTTCTTTCCTCTCTCTTTTTCTAATCGCTGCATGTCTCAATTTCAAATACTGACCTAAGTACTTCGGTCATTTATCATGAGTTCAAGTACACATAGTAAATAAACATATTGAATATGATTTCAAAGAAGATACATTTACATTTCAAATATTAAGAAAATTGTTCATTTCTCACAACATAGTTAATAAATTATAGTTTATAAGCAGTAATTTTTGTAGAAATTTTTCATATATAGATGTTAGTTAGATCAGGATTCAATAACGAGGAATCACATAATGGATAGACAAAGAGACACAACTTGGTTATTGGTACAATAACTTGTACACTTGTACATACTTTTCCGAAAAAAATCTATCATTTTAAAGGATTACGATATAACTTTTTTCTCTTATCGTATTTAATTTCACAAATCTATAAGTATAACTAGTTAACTATTAACTCATAGTCAATACGGATAGTAACAATGATATGCTATGTTAGCGATTCGAAGTAGAATTTGGATTTCTTAGAAGGACTCTATCATACCTATATCGACTGTACGAGTTCGTTTCCTGATGTTATTATGGGCGCGGGTACCGAAGATTACGTTTAATACTAGATAATTCCATTTACATTTAATATAAAGATGCACGGTCGAATAATTAGTGTATCGTTTCCACTATCAAGTTCGCGAATGATTTCCATTTTTATAGAGAAATGGTGCAGCTGTTGATGATGATATCGGTTTTAAATACATATGCGAATCGGGTGGCCATCCAGTACATTCTCCAACAAAATCGACTACAACACTGTATGCATGAGTTCACATATGGTAAACTGGTATTATTAAAAAAGGTTTGGGCTATTTTTTAGAGTTTCTGAAAAACTGATTTTCCAGACGACTGGATCTTCGAAGGGCTACGGGGAACCCCCATGGTCATATTCGAAATCAGCATGGTCGATGACCTATAATTAACTAGATTTCGATCAAAAAGCGATTTATCACCTCGGGAGGTTCCTTCGTGAGATAAAAAATCTGCTTATTTCGTGCACTTTTTCGTTTTTGAGCAACTCAAATTTATTGGATGAAAGTTTTGAGTTTGAACCAAAATAAAATGAGATTTCATTTCCTGTTTTCAGTTTTTTCGAACAAGCTACCATTACCGGGATATTCACAAAAGCAGTCCTTCATTGTGTAAAATAGTGAATATCTCGGTAATAGCTTGTCCGAAAAACTGAAAACAGGAAATGAAATCTCATTTTATTTTGGTTCAAACTCAAAACTTTCATCCAATGAATTTGAGCTGCTCAAAAACGAAAAAGTACACGAAATAAGCAGATTTTTTTATCTCTGTCCACGTACCAAACATGTATTTTCGAAACAAGTTGACCACAACCTGAAACGGTATTTTCTAAAACCCTAAAGAGTTTTTGGACTTTCGAAAATCGAAGTCTTTTAGAAGAAATAATTTAAATATCCTAAAAGATACTTTTGAAAACTGAAAAGTGTTTCACGACACGTTTTCGGTTTAAGACGGAATTTCGAACAAAAAGAGCTTTAGAAAAAATACCCTGTTCGGTATTCGACCATACTGTTCAGATATACAAAAGTTTTCTTTTACACCCAAACGGTTTTCGAAATTTCGAAAACCCAAACGGTATTCCCTAAAATGGAAAGGGATTTGTGAGTTCAATTTGAATACGGAATAAAGTTTCTGAAAGGGTTTTCGAAAATACGCTCCTTTTATAGTGTACTACTCTTTAAAACAAACGATTTTTTAAAAAACCGAAAAAGATTTTCAATCCGTCAAGACACCCTTATGCATTTCTTTGTTTGTTTGAAAAATCTCAAATATGATTTTTTCATACTGAAGAAACCCAGTGGTTCTTAAAAATACATTTTGTAATAGTTTTCTGACCGACTCATAAAACGTATTTTATTAACTCAACAAACCTTGGGCGGTTTTCCACAAAACCAAAATCGGTTTTATGAAATGTTTTTTTCGGTTAACATTTCTGAAACAGAGCCGTTTTGTATTGAGTGATTTATACGTTACGGTTTCTTACTCGTGAGGAGAAATCAAACAGATTTTGTAAAATGTCGTTTTGGTTTTGATTTTCCTAGTAAGATTTCTATACTTCTATAAAAAAAAATGCTTTTTTGCCGTCAGTGGAACAAAAACACTGAAAAAAGTTTTCAACTTTTTCGCATGCTATTTTTGAGATTATTAAAGATTTTACCGAAGAAAATATCGTAACTCTAAAACTATAGGTCATACTTTGCTGTTTCTATATCACAAGAAAAGGAGAGACTTCGTAATAATAGGTTTGTCATTAATTTCTTTTTCGTTCTTCATTGTTCTTGTTCTTGTTCTTTCATCTTTTTTCCATTTGTCGCACGATTATTGTAATTTCTGTAGGTGATTATTACTGCTTGTTTGTTTATTACAAACGATTTTTATGATTTTCATTCGATTTTTAAAAAAACAGAACAAAAATAAACATGTTAGAGCAGAAGGATTATAGGACAATTCAAAAAAAATTATTTCGGCTTTGAATTCCAGAAAATCCGTTATATTGTGAGCGAGATAAATACTGATCAAGCTACTTGTATAAAAAATACACATGGGTATATAAGTGTTCTGTTTTAGTGTGTGGACAGGTTATAATTGATATTTTCAACTCATACATGTTAAAGTGATATCAAACTAAGTTTTTTTGCCGTTTCATTTTCCAGTATCTCATAAGGATATGAGCAGGTATGATGAATGATGATTGTTTCTTTCTGTCATATTTAATAACACAAAATTGTTGTCATTGCTTTTTCTTGCGTGACCAATTCTTTTAATTATATTGTATTAATTAATATTCTTACTCACACAACGAAGACAAAAAGAACTGTAATTTTTGTGTTTGGTATTTGATGTTTTATGGACACAAAATTGTACTATTCGCCACTTCTTAGATGCAGTAACGATTTGTTCATTAGTTCATCTTGACCAGTAGAACCAAAAACTTCGTTCCTTAGTTTTCTTTTATAATATTTCGATAAATTAAAGCTGTAAAGAACCAATCTTTTCCATCCTTTAATTAATAGCGCATATTGCTTGCTGATAATATGTAATAAATATCAAGGGAAGTTATTTTTCACCGATTAGTAATACTTCCATAGCACTTACTTGTGCATATAAGCTTTTTAATGAAGCATAAAAATGCTTTTAATAGAGCACCAAACTTAAGCACTATAATCCATCATCCACACTTTACTGTTTCTGGTTCTGTGTGTTTTTCTCTGTTTGTCAGCCGTTTTCTTTTCTTTTTATACGCAACACCCCCTATTTTAACCGCAGAAATTTACTTACTAATTACTTACGAACGACTTAGTTTTGAGCCAACTTCAAAAGTATTAAAACACAAAATTTTTTCTTATTAAAAATCTCCGACAGCTTGGAAGTGTCGATCCGTTCCACTTTTCAAAATCTCCAGTAATACCGATAAAGTCATTTTCTGAACGTATTTTTCCGAAAAATACGTACAGAAAATGGCTTTATCGGTGGTGTCCGACCTGATGAAAGAAGGTTGAAAGTATATCTAAACGATTCGCTATGATAGATTATCTGTACACTGTAAGTTTTATTAAATGGGTACACGACTTTTTTGGATAGTAGCACAGTTGACTGCTATCTCGCGACATCTATCTCCGGCCTACAGAAAACAGTTGCTTAGCTTAAAAGTTTATTTTTCGAGTAAATTATGAACGCACAGTCAGTTTCTTAATCAATATTGTACTCGGTATGCGAATATTTAAATATTTCAAGTTTTAACGTGTAAATGTCTTTTCTATTCTTCCAGGTCGACCAAAACGGATATCCGTTACGGATCGTAACATCGTTAAAATACGGCCGTATACGGCCGTATTTTCACAGTATACGACCCCGTATTACTGTACCCAGAAACGGTATCGTTTACGGACCGTATATTGTGAAAATACGCCCGTATACGGCCCTATTTTAATGATGTTACGGTCCGTATTCCTGCGTCCAGTAGACCGTCCGTATATGGACCGTATCGTTCGACCTGGGCTGGTCTGCTGGAATTTTCTTCAGGGTTATGCATTATGCGGGCTTCATTCAATTCTCTTTTCTCCAACGCTTAAAAACGAAGAACATGCCGATTACTACATAGGTGGGCGAATTTCTATTGTATGCGTGCGTCATTCCACAAAAAATACTCTTTTCCCGTGCGAAAAGATATTCAAAGTGCCTTGGCTCAACATCCATGATGTCTCACCAAGATGCTACGGGTACATAAAATTGGAATCCAGCCGCTTTCGTAAGGCGGCGCAGCGCGTCTTTTACATGAAAATTCCATCTTACTGATCAAAAATGAAGTCAAAAACTATCCCAGAAAGAAAACGAAATTGTAGAAAAATTAAGGTCTGGGGACACAACAACTCTTTCTCTGTACAAGAATAATATATCATCTGAAGGAGCAAAAGCAATTGGAGAACCCTTGAAAACAAACCGAACATTAACAACTCTTAATATATCCTTCAACAATATATCATCTGAAGGGGCAAAAGCCATATCAGAAGCCTTGAAAGTAAACTAAACATTGACAACTCTGGATTTACAGTTTAACAATATATCGTCTGTAAGGGCAAAAGCAATTACACAAGCCTTGAAAAAGAATAAAGTGTGCAAGGTGAGTCAGTAACTGAGTGTTGTGTTTTTTTTGAAAAGAAGATCGTATACCGCCTTTGATGTATAGAAGAAGAACATAACATTTTCTGCCTCTAGTATGGAAAATATTCAGAATTTAGTGGAGTTATACATCATTCGATGCAGTTTCGTACGTTGATTCTAACTATTACTTTAATCTTTCTTATGAATGATCCTGGGCTTACGTTAGAAAAATTGATTTTACAGCGTGAAAAAATTCAGACCTTATTCCATCTATCCCACCTATCGGGAAAATTACTTAGCTTAAATATTATTTTTATTTGTCCGCGTATGTTCCCTAACTGATAAACGTTTCCTGTAAGAGTCTAGATTAAGAATACGTCTCATTTTCTCTTTTAACTTTGTTAAATTTGGTAAAAGAACTTTTTCTCAATTTTTTGTATTATCCTACTAAATTTTGGCTGTGTTTTTCCATGATCTGTACCACTTGGTACATTGCTTTTGTGAACTCCTTTCTCACATGATCTAAATAAAATTAATAGATTGGATGTATGCATGTATATGTGTATCAAACTATATCCTTGAGAAAGCAATAATTTGTCTGTAACGCTTAACATATCCGTTAACAATATTTCGAGTGTACTCTACATAAGACAGTATTTTCACAACAAAACACAATGCAGTTTATGAGAAAATATTCACAACAATCCATTTTGCATTCTGCCCATCTTCTAATGAAGTTTTAAGCGGCAGACTATTAGATTATTAAACAATAAATTAAAAAATGACTGTTGGACGAAAGACACATAATTTGGTGATAGACATTTAGATGTTTGCGGTTCCCTTTACTCGATTCAGTTCCATTGTCAAATCCCCTAACTACAATTTGAATGAGTAATTTTCACTATGAAAATCTCTTCTTAAGAAACGGATACCTTTCGATAAAAAACACCTACTCTATTTTTCCGACGGATTACTGCATCAAACAGAAAAAATAATTTCAGAATCATGATCACTCACTTCAAAACTATACAAGCTGCCCTTTCCAACAAAAACACATGATAAGAAAAAGAACAATCGGTTTGTTTCCAAGGCTTCTGCAATTGCTTTTGCCCCTTCAGGTGATATACTGCTAAAACTGTAAATACAGAGTTGTCAATGTTTGGTTTATTTTCAAGGCTTCTCGAATTGCTTTTGCCCCTTCAGGTGATACATTGTTGCAGGATACATTGACTTTCCAAAGCACATTAGCTCATAAGTGAAACAATTCTGTAAATCTTCTTGTAAGGAGCCTTGTATCTATAGTGTGAAATAGAGACATAAAATAGATAATACATTTTGAAGAAAATCCCATTACTTTTCTCTCTCTTTCACTTAAACTTTGACTATAGATATACGTTTCAGTTGAAATTAAAATTCCACTAAGGGAAATTAAAATTTTAATCGTTACTAGTGGAAAGTAAAATCCAGATGTTCGCACATGGGCTGAAGCATGTACACTGTAAAAAATAAAATCTGCCCGCTAGTGTACTTTCCCCCAAGTATGCATTTCGAGTCCAAAATGATGTGCAAATTGCCACTGTGTAATCTGAATTTTTATCTTGCGTTTCTCTATTGAAAAAAATGAAAGAATTATCCTTTTCTTCGGTCTTTTTTCTCGTTCTGTCTATGTAAGCTATATGTGCAATTCCAGCGTGTTACAGGCACACTGAACAAGCTATTTTCAGTGTGCAAAAAGTCCAAGCTCAGTGTGCTCCGGGCACACTTTATTTTTTACAGTGTATTCTCCATAAACTAGGCTTACAACAACAAGATCAAGCTTGCAGCCTTTCAGAACTGGAGAAGAATACCCGAGGGAACGGCAAGATATGTTTAGAGTGAGTGACAAAACAGCATAGAGTATGAAGCCTGGATATACGAATGTCAGACCATATCACTAGGGATATTGTTTTGTAACTCTTACATCTTGGGATGTCCTCGGATATTCTCATACAGTTCTAAGCCTGATCTTGCAGTTGAAAGCCTAGTTTATGGTGAATACATGCTTCAGCATTTTACTTTCCACTAGTAGCGATTAAAATTTTAATTTCAACTGTAACATATACATACGAACCGGCATAATTTCACCTGCTCAAAAACAGGTAAGCATATAATCCGCCTTTCCCATACAGCAACATCATAATTTACACTGCGATCCTGTTTTAAATAAAAGCAAATCCATGCGGACACTTATTGTTTTTCATCCACTGCTTCTCAGCGGTTGGATTCTGAAAATTAAAGAATCTCCGAGAAAACTCATATAGTGTTAATAAAGTGCGACCAAACTATTAATTACCGTAAACTATAATAGATAGACGTAAAATTTACGGTGATACAATAAATTAAACATATAAACATCTCCGGTTCTTTAGCCTTCAGCATCCACCGACGTACAGCATCAGTGCAAGGGACTACGTACCATAGCAAAATCATTTATTTGGGCGATTTTGTGGTTAGAAAGTTATTGCCTGTTCTATACTATAAAAATGGTGGAAAGTTCTGCTGTTAGATGTAGAATTTCACGGCGATGCAAAACACTTTGCCCGGAGTATCAATAAGGACGTCACCTGACATATGAGCGGCCCGACGTTTGAGCCTTCCTTGAATTATACTTTGACTCGCAAGATTCAGATTCGCGTTTTATTCGCATCATCCCGGGCATGTCGCTCATCGGAAAGAGGGCAGGTGGATAGTAGGAGTAAGTGAAAAACCTAAAAATCTAATGATGAAAATTCGTATTGTCACCCGCAAGGAGATCATCCGCTATTTCACCTACCCAATCTGCAGAGATCTCTTATACAGTCTACCGAAATGTTAAAACGTCAAAATATGACGGTCGTGTTTGAACAGAAAATCGAGCTAGTAGGCACTAGTTCCACATTTTTCCAGTCACCATTTTGTTATCAACGATTGATTCCACTATTTTACTCGGACTTTTCTTCGAGAGCCTAGTGCTATCGAATTTTAATGCGTTCGTCGAGCAGACAATGCTTTTATCATGTTATAATCTCCAAAACGAAAAATCAGTATGAAAACAGAATCAGGTAGTAAACTCAGAGGATGTACACAGCAAATTCAGCTCTCTATTTCCTTATCTAAACAGGTCTCATTTTCGTGAGTTTAGTAAAGTGCCTTACAGATTGCCCAAATCTTCTGATTTGACCAGGACTCCTGATCTTTTGACTTTTCTCCTGATGAAAATTCTCCTGATTTCACAACCTGATTTTTAAGATTTTCTCCTGGTTTCTCCTGATTTTCAATTGTTTTCCTGTATCGATTTTAGCGACATTTTAGATCAATTAAAAAGCGGAGAGGAAAAAGAGAACCGACGTGCAATACAGCCATGTTGCACAAAAAACCATAGACGGCGTAGCAAAATAAATATCAAGGAGGAGTGTCATGGAGCACTCTTTTTCGGAAAAAGAGTGCTCCAACTCAAAAGGAGTACTCCAAAAGCTACCACGGAGTACCCATAAAAAATGAGTACTCCTGAGTGCTGCATGTAGAACGGTGCCCGTTTTTTCTGTTTTCATGTGTAAGGTTCGTAAACTAATATAAATAGAGCAAAAATCTCAAAAGGTCTAAAACTATTTCTGAATTCAAAACAATGCTCACGCTCAGTGTTTTTAATAGAAATTTTAAGCAAAATGGGTTTCCACAGTTTACCACTGCATTTTCCATGTTTTCTCTGCTAAAAACAAAGTGGAAATCGAATTTTCAAAGTGGAAACCCATTTTGTTCAAGCGAGACCCACTAATCATTAAAAACACTGCTCACGCTTCCCTTCTGTCGGCGTTCGCAACCAGTATAGATGAGAAACGCTATGAACTTCTCTGATTCCACCAAAAAACCATCTAATGTAATATAAAGTTAAAAGGTTTTCTGCACACCCTCTGCAGACCCCAAGAAGGTTGGAAGTATTTCTAATCGATTCGTTATAATAGATTATCTATACACTATCAATTTTATTACCTGTGGATCCCTTTTTTTGTATTGTCACAGTTGACTGCTATCTATTTTCTACTGTTGTCTCTTATGATTCGCTTATCCATAGAATATCTGACAGCCATTTTTCCGTATTTTGCACACACACAGACAACCATTTTGTAAGACCCTAGACTAAAGTCAAGGAATATCTGTCGAAGTTAAGGCTGTTAAAAAATAAACGCTCCTGGGTGGACTTGAACCACCAACCTTTTGGTTAACAGCCAAACGCGCTAACCGATTGCGCTACAAGAGCTTACTGAACGCTTTATTCAATAAAGCGTTCATATTTAACAGTAAAGTTTACTTATACGTTAAAAAAAATATAAGTTTACTGTTAACTGACGAACAGAGCACTTTAGACAATTCAATTGTAAACTGGCATTGTGGATTGTACAATATGACTATCAAAGGAGTTCATAACTGATTGTTCATTTCTCAACACTTGAAATTTTCCTATTCCCTGTTATTCTTTAAAACTCTCTTGTATTCAAAGATTCGTATATTTGCACTCCCGTTGACTGAATCCTTTCCTACTTTAACTAATTGTCAAATATTTACTAGATACTAGAATAATTAAAACATAGCGTCAAAATAAACTGCAAAATTAAACTCGATTGTTCATTCTTCAATATTACAACCCAATGTCTCTTTCATATTTAGTTATTTTCTAATGTATATAAAAAACGTATTCAGTATCCAATGTTGTTGATTGTAAATATTTTAAATATTGTACAATTAGCATGTCAAGATCAGTGAAAACTGCAGTATGCCTTTTTGACTTTTCGTTAGAATTTCTTCCACGAAAAACTATTCATCTTTCAAAATCTGCTTATGTCAAACTTTTATGTTAATTATTCGCATAAAAGTTGAGGTTGACAAAGTTGCTATTACATCGCGCTGAAGTCTTTTTTGTTTCATCAGCATTTCACATCATATTGATTTATCTTTCGTGCACTCTATTAACTGTTACGATACTATTTGATAGGATCCTGCCATTATACAAAAAATATCATTATTGTAAAAAAATGGTTTGTTACTGAAATCCTACTACACCTGATTCAATCGATTTTAATGTATTTGCATCTATCATCGAATATTTAGATGAAGTAAAACGGCGAACATTATTTACTATTTAGTCTTTTCATGGTTAAACGAATTTTAGTCGCAGGTATTTAATTATTTTAGTTTTTAACGAGTTTCCACGTTCGCTAAAGTGATGCTAAGTGATGTCTTCGAGCTCATCTATGAAAATTATGTAACCGTGACGTATATTAATATCATGTCCAATATGTGTATTATCAACATCGATTGAGAAATTGGAAACAGTATTATTAATATTCATCGAGAAAATCAAAAATTCATGCAAAAATCTGCGAAAACATCCTCAAAAGGGAATTTGTTTCATTTACTAGATAAAAGATAAAAAAAATTAATCTAATCGTTCACTGATGACAATGTAAATTAAAAACAGTTATTCTTTGACGATTTGCTTGTTTTACCATCATGAGAAACGAAAAGTTTTACGTATTTAATACAATCAGGCTCCAAAAAATAAGTTTAAGAAAACGTTTTTTTTTCCTCGTCACTCTTCTATTCATGGTCTTCTATTATTCAAATTCAGACTAATAGAAGAATAAACCATGTTATTCACATTTTTTCAATAAGGATCGTTACTTCATTACATACAAAACAACAGAATTACAAATAAATAAATAAATATAAGTTTACAGCCGCTTTTTACAAAAATAAACATTATCGATAGAATTAACTATGAAACAGTAGAAACAACAACAACAACAACAGAACATATATGAGATAACAAAGTAGTTGTCAAGTAAAAAAATCAAGTATCGTGAGATTATGGGATTATAGACGATAAAAATTCATAGAAAGGTTGTTCAACTAAGATAATCAATTATTTTCCATACCACTAATCTATAAAAACTGAAATTATCAAGGGAAGAAAATTCTTAGATACTAGATCGCTCTACTTCTGATCATGCAAGGGTTCACAACCCTGACGACTAATAAAGATTGGTGACGGCTGTTTATAAAAGAAATGAATTACAATGGAAAATGAACCGATGCATTTATCATTTGTTTATTCGTGGAATGTAATTTTCAATGAAATTCTTATCTACTAATAACAGTTATAAAAATAATGAATAGGAGTATCGATACTCCAATACCGATTAAGATTAATTTAAATTTTAATCCACGTTTTTTATGTTCAACAGCTTTTTGTAAATGTTGTTTGCCTTGTTCAACTTGAATTACAGCATTTTCAATATTATAATCGATTTGATCAAGTATCGTACCCTAAATGAACAAAAAGTAATAAAACTTCATTATTGAGTTGCTGAAATATATGGCATACTTGACTAGCTACAATAGATGCTACATCTCGAAATATTTCATTCACATCTTCAATTGATTTCAATACTTCTTTGATTTCTTTATCACGTTTTTCTAAAAACTGCACATTTTGACTGGTTAATTGTAGTTGATCTTCAGAAGTGAGCTATTAAACAAAGCAACAAAACAAACAGTAAACCGATCGATTCGACTTGTCATACCGATATTTGATCGAAATTGCTTTTACTATCTTGATCACCAAAGGGATTTGAATGAATATCAATTTCCATATCTGGCATAGTTTTATTAAAATTTTCTTTTCGTGCTTGTAATTCTAAAATAAATATGCAACAAAAGTAATGAAGTAGCCTTCAGTTATGTTTAACAAATAATACACATGTTATGAATTGATTTAATTTTGCAAAGAAAAATAGGCATCAAAACTTCACTATAACAATAGTCGGTTCAAAAATGGAAATGTTTATTGATTATCCGAGATGTAAAATCTGTGGTAAGTAAAGATATTACTTACTATGAAGGTAATTCGACTGACATTTTCTAAATTTTATGGTTAAATCCTGTAGTGCTGAGGCTGTCGCTTGTACAATATTATTTGCTAAACGTTTATCATACACATTTGTTTGTGACTGATTTGTTTGATTGGAAATTTGTTGAACGGAGATATGACAACTATTTAACATCTAAATCAACCAGTATATGTCGAAAAATTTAATAATAAAGATATAGAATGAAATAAATCTATACTGCTGTAATGTCTTTGGTGGTTGATTCAATTTCCTTTTCTTCACTTGAATTTTCATCGAAATCGGGTCGAGTTAAATGTTTATCATGTAATTGTGTTAGTCTTTTCACTTAAAAGATGAAAGAACAAGATGAAAATAATAAAAATAGAAATTATCAGTCTCCTTACTTCGACTCCGAACTTGATCAAATTGTAATTGAATACGTCTTTGTGTTTCTATCCTATGAACAAAACATTCATAAAATTAAGCAAAGCTTAATAATTATGTTGTTCGTCATGTACATCAAAAATACAATGTTCGAACCGCGATGTCGTCGACATTCGATAACAGTGTGACGTACAATCGCGGGCAGAAAGCTATAGTAAATGTGTATAAGATGATGGAACTAAAGATTAGATTGAACTTCTGCTCGTTAGAGTCCTGCAGGTTTGAGATTTTCGAACCCGTCAGAACTTTTTCGGGATCCCCAACTCGATCCCGATTTTTTTCAAATAAAATCTGTCCCGAACCCGCTCGAACCCGAAATATTTTTTTTCTAGTGAAGTAGTGCTCTCTTTCATTTTAACGTTAGTAAATTTCTACTCGTATGGATACAAAAATAAAATTCACTTGGTCGATTGTACGTCTGATGTGAAACACCAGTCCGTTTTCCTTATTTTTCATTCTTTTTTATTTATTTAAAATTGTCTCTTATCTCCCTGTATATCAAACTAGAAGAATCGGGATTGGAAACAAATCCGATCCAAGATGAACTGAAACCCGTCTCGAATCCGCGGCTTCACGTTCTGAATCGGAATCGGTTAAACACGCAGGACTCTACTGCTTGGAGCTGTAGTAAAGAGATAGTGTATCCACAAGGTGGAGGATGCTTCTTCCCTCTTCAGACACTATCATAAGAAAATGAGAGACATACCAGCTTGGTGGTAAATTATTTTCAAATTGTACAATTTCTTCTTCATTTTCAATCAACGCCGTACGATCATCGGTTGACTTAAAAGAGAAAAGTAATAAAACATGATTTTAATTATTTAAGAGAGAAAGTCAACTACATACTTTATCATCCGTATTGTAATTTCTATCTCGAACAGCTCGATTCCGAAATTCTAAAAAATTTGATGTCAGATTTCGACTCGTCATTGTTGTTTGATTAGAGAATCGGTCTCATTTGAATTTACATGTAACATGAATTATTATCATACTGAAAGAAAAAGGAAGAACAATATGAAAAATATCCAGAAATGTCAAGTCTAATAGTTTTGGATTCCATTATCTTTGTAATTTAATTGAAAAATAAGCAAAAACAATAATATTGTCTGCCATCTAACACGGCATAAAAAAAGGTACCAATTTCTAACAAGTAAAGATAGGCAAGAAAATATTGTAAATAAAACCATCACATTTTTAGAATTCAGTATCTAGATCGTTACTAAAGGATATCAATCGTGTAAATGGGGTGAACTCATTCGGTCTAGATCCAATGAAAGTTTCACAAATTTGTTATCGTCCTACTAGAAATTTTGCAAAATATTTTTGTTCACAGCAAGACTCCATCCCTTTTCTCTAATTAACTGAGATTAATCGAACGATCAAAAAATCTTAGTTTACTGAAAGACACACGAGAGTTACAATAAAAAATCATCATCGACAATTATCAGCGTTTCATGAACGTTTTATCAACACGTTTCTTCCAAGTATTTGTTTAATCTGTTCAATCTTTTTAATCGTTCATTTCAGCATTTCAATCGCTTTTGAATATATTGTTTTAATTATGGTTACAGTTTCGTTAGGAACGACAGTACCTTTGAAAAAAAAAAAGTTATTTTCTACTAATCGCATGGAATAGTCATAGAGAATCTTACCAACTTCTTTTTAGCCAGTGTCCTCCGGAGCAATGACTAAGACGACATACGAAAACATCAGTTCTATTGCTAATTGCTAATTGCTCTTGTTTCTATTGCTATTGCTTCTAATTTCAGATGTTAGTGTCATATCGTTTGTTGTACAATTCCAACCGAGACAGACTTTATTTTCAGAATATGTTGATATATTCAGTTTTTCTTTATAACCATCAATTTTTAGTTCTTTACAAGATTCAATTAATAATTGACGTAGTTCATGATGATATTGTGAATGTATTGATACATGGCATTACATTTTATGGAAGTAAGCGACTATAAATATTTAAAACAACGAAATTCGATCATACCAGTATAAGTATCCGTAGAAAAAAAAAGATCAGCGACAGATATTAACACATCAATCACGTATTAGTCATTGTATGAGTAGTAGTCTCTTTGTTAAATAAGATAATAATCAACTTTTTTGTTACTATTACATAAAACACCTACCTGAAATGAAAAGTACATCATATTTTGATTCAGTGACCAATGATCCGATACCTGTCATTGCTGATATTAGATTATCATTCATTTCTTTAAATGCTTATAAATTTGCACGATAATTAACTTGCAATAGATTATCAAAATATTTTCGATCACATTAAAAACATGATAGACAATCAATGAAATTTATTTGACCACTCATTAACTTATCACTCGAGCGTTCCTATGAAGTATTAGTCTCATATACTTGATTAATGATTCGATAAAATATCAGTTTGATTAAATCCACTATCGCCAATAATGCTGACCTTTATTTCCATTAAACTCGTTATAGTTCGTCGTCTAGAGCAAATCATACAATTAGATTACGTATAATAGAAGACAAATATTGATATTCAATAAGGCAGATTTAAATTCTTAAGAATAGATCGAAAAAAGTTCACCGATGTCAACAGATAAAACAGTTTTTTCTACGATAAGAAACAAGATTTAGTCGTGAAATTTATTTGTGAACACACTTTAAATACAATAAAATAGCAACATTTTTCCAGATCCTTCTAATTGATAAGGAAAAGGCACACGTTTCACGTCGATCAAAAACAGAAAAAGACAATAAATTTATTAGATTTCATTCAAAAAAAAAACGAAAACTTCGAATATGCCATGGGTTCATGCTAAAAGAAAAGTAAACAAAAATCAATTTTTATGCTAACATATGTTTTTTTTTTGCATCAAAGCTGGGCAATCTAAAGATAAATATAGCTCACCCCATTCCACACACATATGAAATAAGAGAAAATTTTATACAAGAGAAAGAAACATGGTATTTTATACAAATTAATTCTTTTTATTGCTCAGCAATTAAATAAAAAATTTATAATAAAGAATTGAAATAAAAAAACAAGCATAGCCGTAACTTATGCATTTTTTATGCATATAAAAACGCATTTAAAATAGAGATTGAAATATATTTTTTTGCGTAAATTATCATATGCATTAATGAAATAAAAATTTATTCCTTAAGCCGTTAATAGTAGAAGAATCTTTTCAATTTGCACTAATGAGATTCAAAAGCGTTCATATTACTTGTATCATATCCTCAATCATAAGCATAATTTAAAGAGCAAGCATTACACACCACTCAACAAGAAATAAGCTTTCACACGTCAAGATATAAAAAGACGCTAAACATCAACTCTTTTTTCTTCCCAATTTGATTGTGTAAAAGATATATAGATATTTTAATCCGAAAAACTAAACCTTTCGTAATGAGTGTTCATTTAAAACTTTATTTTTGCCGTAAAAACTAAAGAAATTGGCTAACGTTTAAGGTATATTACACTCATTTGAGTATTATACAACTGTTTCAAAATTGCCTTCAAAGTAGCTCACTCACTTCACTGATTACGAGTCTGATAACCGTTTTAGTGATTGAGTCTTTTCTGGATGGAAGTGTCGAATATGGGTCTCTGAACACTTATCAAGAACTGTTGACTGATCAAATTCTGATTTTACAGATAATTTGCTACGTTTGAAAAAGAAAGAAAAGAGTTGATGCTTGTTTTGATCATAACATAGAGAAAAAGAAGATTACAATTTATTGTTTTATTTTTAAATCAGAATCACTATTGTGTTTGATATGTTGGAGATGATCATTATTATTATAATTATGTCTAAGCATTAAATTTGAGAGTAATGGTGTTTCATTATTCTGTGACTGACTATACATCCTACCATTTAATTTTCTTAACGATTGTGTACTTGAGAGACCGTGTTTTCGTTGTCTGTTATCTTTTAATGAACTTTTTCGTTTGGATTGTGTAGAATATTCGATGAATGATGTCATATCTGCTTTTCCCTCACCACTTACACGATCAATAGCTGCTGATTGTGTTCGTAAATGACATTGTAGTTGTTGAGGTTCAAGATTTATTGATGAATCATTTTCACTTGGTGTACGTGATGCTTTTTTACCAGTTGATGATGATTGTTTTAAGACATATTGACCATTTTTAAATTCAATCAATGATTTTGGCGATAATTTAGGTGATGCAGATAATTGAATACAATCATTAAACGATTCATAATTCGTTGTTGTAGTTGATGGTGATGGTACTGTAACAGAATCAAATGAATTTTGTTTTGTTTGTGTGCGATGAAACGTGTGAAGATGATGATGAGCAGGAGAATTAGAGGCATGGACTGGAGTTTTATCGTTTTCAAAGTTACTACTGTTATTACTGAGAGTCAATAATTCGATTAACGATGGAGATATAGACAATGTTGAACTGATTGAATGTGAAAATGTAGGATTACTTGCTGTTGATAAATTGTCATCCGAATCATCGGACAGATCAATTTTTGGAAATTCAGTCAATTCTAAAAAGAACGAGAAAAGTCTGATGAAATAATTTAAAAATTTATCATAGTAAAATATCTCTCTGCTAACTATAATTAATTTCATTTTTAAATCTCATACTTGGATAAGGAAGTTTCATCTGTAGGATAAAATGATTATTGAAACAAAAGGACATAAGAAAATTTCAATATTGGAAAATAAAAGAAAGCTAACTGAATAAAATGAAAAATAAAATTTCAAAGCAAGCAACATGCTTCCTGTCTTATCTACCTGAAGTTACAGTATTCGGTGAAGATTCTAAATATGTAGTATGAACAATAATATTCAACATACAAATAAAATCTGTTTTGTCTTTTTACCTAATTCAGGTAGTTTAATTGGGTGAAACGTTTCTTCTTCATCAGGATTTTCTGAGCCAACGCCTGGTTCACGCGGTGGCAAATCTAATACTCGATTTTTTCGTTTGAGATGAATCTTAAAAATTAAAATCAAAAATATCTGAGCACTATTATACATGAGATTTTTGTTTTTACTTCTTCTGATATCCGTTCTAAATTATTTAAGGCGGCTCGATACATTCGTTTAGCATGATAAATCGCTTTTTGTACAGCTTCAATCTGTAACTTTTGAGTCTAAATCAACAAACGTATATGTAATACAACTACGGCAAATTCATTTTTTACCCATTAATGTTACCTGTAAATCGTAGTCAGCTTTAGCTTTCGCGTCAAAATACAATCTAAATAAGAACGGAGTAAAAAGTTATTCTAAAAAGAGTAGAGCAATAATTTTTTTCCATTATTATCGCATGATTTTAAAATTTGATCAGTATATGGAAACTATCGATTCTTGTACATAGTCAATCAGCTAGTACATTTTACTTATGTATACAATATTTACTTTGATTTGAGTATGGATTGTCGTAGTGTTCGATATAACATCATATGTCGTTCTTCAGCAGCTTGATAAAGTTTTGATTTTTCTTGATGTAAACGTTCGCTCCGTGTTTTGTCGTGTTCAGCTTGCATTACCTACATTTTTAGACAAATTGAGTATCAAACAACAAAGAGAGAACGTTCTTACTTTCATTGTTGCATGATTAACATATTCTTGCCAAACGGCATCAAATTCACGTTTATCATCCGTTAATAATTTACTTTCTGCTAAACTCAACGTTTCCTTTGCTACTTGATAAACACCGAACGATCGTTGAAATTCTTGTGCAGCTTTTTGTGTCTCAAGTTGTGCCTGAAAAAAAAAATGTTAACAATAACTAGAATTCTTTGTTTGGAAATGGTTATTATTTACCTCTTCAACTTGCTTACAAGCTTCATAGTATGGTCGAGCCTTTTCAACACAACGTCCGAGCTTTTTTGATAATACTGCTAAACGTTGTTTACAATTAGAAAACATTGTTTGAAATAGTTGTTGAGCTTCCTAAAATAAATAACAAGAATATAAACTGAGCTCAAATACTTGTATACGTTGATTCTCACATCAAACTGTGTTTCAAGATTATTCACTTCGCTCATGGCAGCATTAGCACGCTCTAGTTCATCCTAAATAGAATCAATCAAGTTTCACCATTGTAAAATTTGTAAAAATATTCTGTTTGTTACCTGTATTCGTGGATCTAACGGTTCTTTATTATCATCTTCTTCATCATGATTTTGTTGCTGAGCAATTTGATTATTGTCTTGATTCTCTAAATCCTCTTCATTGTCCTCGTTTTCAATTTTTTCCTCTGATGATAATGACATTCAACTTATAAAATTGACAATTAAAAAATAAGACAAAACAAATCTAGAAAATACGAAATCTACACACAGTTTGAACAAAGATACATGACATCGTTCTCAGAATTGCTTAACAAATATAATAAAGAACTTTGAAGAGAAAAAAAAGTCATCTATTTTAAACAAGCTACTGAAAAAAAACTAGAAAAAACTAAATACATGTGCGGAGGTGAAAAAATGTTGTCTTTCAAAAATTTAGATTGGCCATTTCCATTGGTTAGCAGGAGCTTGAGCGGTTAACGGTTCCCACACTTTATGTTCAGTCATTCGTCTTGCACACGTCAATTCATTTTCAGCCTACCAAAACAACAATAATCAGAATGGAATAAACTAACCAAAAAAACAGTATTACATACTTGAATTATGACTTCTTCTATTTGTCCACAATTGATTTTACGTTCTAATTTTGCAATATCAGGCTCCTAAAATAATCAATATCTGACTTCTGTTCTAATATGGACAAATGAAAAAATACATAAGCAAACTATTTTTGTTTTCTCACCGATAAAACGTGCTGAAGTCGAGATTGAGTTAATTCTTCGGTATATTTTCTATACGCTGAATTATCCGGTATTTTTTTTAAATCTCGCAATATTTTACCATATAAAAGTTTCAATGACTAAAGTTCAAAAGAACCAAATGACAAATAGTCTTGACATGAAATAACAGAACATTTACATAATGTGGATCTTTGGAAACAGCCAAACCCGTTAAATTTGTCGTCTAAAATTAGTTGAGAACAGTTTCGAATAAATTAGAAGTTTCGATTGTTATACTCACAGCCTTGAGGACTTTCGCAGCCATTTAATCTGAAATAGTAGATCATACATAATGAAAAACTGAAGATAAGTAATATCAACCGACAAAGAACAAATGAAGACTATCACTAAGAAAAGCAAGAATCAATAGAGTCATCAAACCATCTTAGATCGTAAAAAGAAATATTTTTAATACACAATTTTATTCCCTATGATAAATACATAAATCAATGAGATATAAATGGAGGTGGCACAGGTTGAGGAGTTGAGAAAGATGGTGGTGGTAATAAACATTGGTATTGATATTGACCCATAGGATCGATCAATGACATTGAGTCTTTTGTTCGATATGTTGTTGTTGTAGTAAACGTGGCTGGAGCTCTCGGAGGTAAACAAAAAGAATCGTATAGAGAAGATGAAGATGTCGTTTTACCACATAAATTAATTGTTGGTAATAGTGGTGGCGGAGGCAGGGGAACATTGGGTATTGTAGTAATTGTAGGACATTTTTGACTGTACGATGAGGACTGTAAAGACAAAGATGCCGGTATTGGCATTTGAAATTGATGATGCTCATATGGTGTTGGGTTATGAAAAGAAGGATAAACTGATGTTAAATGTGTATTGTTCAGTATTGGATGATGCGAAATTGTTTGATTTGTTGACGTACTCAATGCTCGAGCTGCATTTGATATTTGCCATATCATTTGTGGTAGAGTGTAACTAGTCTGTTGCAATGTATCAGCCAAATGTTTTAAAACATTGTTTGCCGATGTTACTGGAGCAGAAGATGTAGGAGGTAAGAGATTCAACGAATGAACGGACTGTTGACTTGTTAATAATGATATTGATGGCTCGTTACAGGCTGTTGAATTTGGCGATAAATTTGATGTTGCCATATGAACAATAGAATTGAGTGAGTCAAACAAATGATTTAAATTCAATGTACTAGGTACAGTCGATTGTTGCTGAAGACTAAAATAAAAATAAATCGTCTATAATGCCATATCAATAAAATTATTGTCTGTTAATATTTACCTTGCTGACATTGTAATATTTGTTCGATTTTCTAGACTTGAATTTGCATTACAATCTTTTAAAGTTGTCTGTTGTAGTTTTAATTTGGTATTTTCATCCGTTAGCATGACATTTTTCATTTTTAAATCATTCAATTGTTCTTTAAGTTTCTGTAATTTTTCATTCAGTGTATCGTTTCGTAAATCTGATAAGACTGTTTGTGTCGATGCCAATATAGTGAATAATGATGATAAAAGATCAGAGAACATGTCATGATGTCGTGAACGCTTTGTTGATTCTATACAATAGGAATTTGAATATTTTCTCTTACGTAATAATGTTGAACTATTTTTAATTTCAAATGATTGTGTATTATCATTACCATGAAAAGGTTTTGAATGACGATATTTACAATATTTACGACGACATGAATCATTCAAAAAATCTTTGCAATAGGGTGTATCAGAATAATTTCCAATACCTCGGTCTAATTGATTCTGTATATTTTGTGATATTATACCAGATTTGATGTAATCTTCTTCTTCATCGCGTGTACAATGAATATATTTGCAATCGGAAAATGTACAACGACCTTGCTGATAGTCAAAACAAAATACACAATCCTAAATAAAATGAAAAATAACACAGATGGATATATCTGACAGATACTTCACACTAAATATTTAAAAAAAGAGAAGGAAGCATCGTTTCTGATACATTGCCTATGATATTTTGGTTCTAAAGGCTGTGCTGCATACCGAGCAATACCTTTTATTCTATTTATAAGTTTCTTTCGACATAAACTTTTAAAAATTGTGACTGACTGACTGACTTGTACAGCGATTCTCATTCATAGATTAAGGAGTGTATCGCGTGCTTTAAATAAAAATGCTTAGTTTGTTTAAGTACCATGCAGAATAAATAATTTGGTTAGACACTTGGATTGTTAAAATGAATATGATTTTGTTCACATTTATTGTTCATTAATTAAATATTAATTCTTTAATAAATCTAGAATAATAGAATAATACAGTAATTGTCTACTGGATGATAATTTGCTTAATTAATATTAAAATCTTAACTGCATAATATGATATCGTTTTAAAAAGACGGCATCTATCGATTCGAAGTAAACAATAATATTCTGTTCTTTCTAATAATAGTCACTAATATTATCTGATTTTTAAAACGTTTTCATTAATTTCTATATTCTTTTTTTCGCATACCAGCATTTTCTCAAGATTCTCATGAGTCAATCTATCTGTATCTAATATCTACGACTATGTATCTGTTATTCCGATAAAGTTCAATACATGGACGACGTAAGCTTGTAAAAATACATGGGAAACTTTCCAATTTGTACCTATTTCCATTAAAACACGTGATTATTCTAGAATCGATAGTTTTCAAGATTATATACAATATTTATAATATGGATGCGGATAAAAAAGACTAAACTATTGATCTTCGTTTTTCTTTTGAACGAATTAAATAAAAATAACTATAAAAAAAAACATAAAAAAATACAAAAAAAAATAAATCCAATGAAATTGGACACCATCACAGGCAATATTGAAGGAATTTGTTTAATAGATCATCCAAAAATCGTAATAATTGAGATTGCAAACAAGTAATTTCTATTCATCAGCGATCCTACTTGCTGATTATACTATGATTAAAACCAGCTTTTCAGCAGTTTAGAAATCTTCATGTAAGTTGGAACCTGATGGCACTTTAACAGTAGAAGATATATCAGAATGATGATGCATCCATTCAGTTGGAAAATAAACATTTCGTTCGCTATGACGTTTAACAAGTAATTCATTTCGAAAATAAGCAATCGTTTTATTAAGACCATCATTAAGTTTGACCTAGAAAATAAAACAAAAAAGATTAGTAGAATGCAAGCTTCAGCTTACTTATACGAACTGTTGGCTGCCAGTTTAATAGTGTTTTAGCTAACGTAATATCAGGTCTTCGTTGTTTTGGATCATCTGTGACAGCCTCTTTAAAAACAAGAGTACTGTTTGAACCTTAAATAAATAAGAAATAATGATAATTTTTTACATTGATAAAAAAAAAATCACTTACCAACAAGATCTTTGATAATTAATGCAAATTGTTCGATTGTATATTCATCTGGATTACCCATATTCATCGGACTCGAATAATTACTATTCATTAACTTTATTAAACCATCAACTAAATCGCTGACATACGCAAATGAACGAGTTTGCTTTCCACTACCATAGATCTTAAAAATAAATATTTAAAAAGCAAAAAGCTTTCTTCTTGTCATATCACGAACTGTTATTGATTCATTTTGTAATGCTTGAAGTATAAAATTGCTGACAACACGACCATCATCCATATGCATACGTGGTCCATAAGTATTGAATATACGAGCAATACGAATACTAATTCTTTCCTAAAATAGAAGGAAAAGTAGGCAATCAATAATATTCAGCATTCAAGTTAAACGAAAAAGAAAAGTCTTGTTAAACAATTTTCCTATATAAAACCTTCATCAATTTAAAGAAAAGAATTTAATATTTTCTATTTAATCAATAATTACTTGCTTAGCATAAGCATAACACATGGCTTCGGCGACACGTTTTGATTCATCGTAACAAGCTCGTGGACCAAATGAATTTACATTTCCAAAATATGTTTCTGTTTGTGGATGAACTTCTGGATCACCGTACACTTCACTTGTAGAAGCAAATAATAAACGGGCACGAACCCGACGTGCCAAACCTAAAATAATGAATTATACATGACAAAAAAAATCTTTAAATCTTTAGATGTGTAATGAATGACTCACCTAACATATTAATAGTGCCAATCGAATTCACTTTTATTGTTTTGACAGGATTCCACATGTAGTGTGGAGGTGATGCAGGTGACGCCAAATGATAAATTTGATCAACTAAATTAGAGAAACTCTGATGATTCATGATATATATACATATACACAGACTGTTAAAAAACCTTCAATAAACAATGGATTTACGATATCATGATTTATTAATTCAAAATTTTCATGTCCAATCCAATGTTCAATATTACGTTTTCTACCCGTAAAAAAATTATCAGCAACAATAACTTCATGTCCTTGTAACATTAGACGATCAACAAGATGTGAGCCCACAAATCCTAAATTAAGCAAAAATAGAGAAAAATATTTTAAAAGAATTCAGTTGTACGTTTTTTTTTACAATCACCTGCACCGCCTGTTATCTAAATATATATAAATATAATTCATCATTGATCAATCTTATTCATTTTCTTTTCTCTTATCTACACTTACAAGAATCCGTTTACGATCTTTGTAACTTAAATAGGTCACTTCTGGATATTGCGTTTTGCTTTAAAAAAACAAAAAGAAAATGAACAAATATAAATGAATCAATTTCAAATCAAGTGCATTCAATTCTACCCTGCTTCTAACGCTTTAATACGTTGTTCAAGTTGAGTAATAGTGGTTTGTTCGCTAATACCATCAGTAGTACTAGAAGAAAAGTTAATGAAATAGAAAAAACATTACGATTAGTTTTTCGTACTTACCATAGAGAGATGTAAAACACCGTTAAAACAACTGAAATAAATAATATTCCCAATTATTTTCGAGAAAGGAAGGCTAAGCTTTATGGCAAAGAGAAACAACGCTCACTACTTACTGAATAATTTTGTGTACATAATGAAAAAATAAACTAAAGCACAATACAATCTACAAAATCGAAGCAAATAATTATTGAGCATTTTGTAGCCCGAATTTTCCAATTTCTATCACTTTTCAATAAAAAAAATAAACGATAAATTTACAAAAAAATGTTCAATTGCAAAATCATATCAAGCTAAATATAAAACATTATCTCTACTATGTAAAAATGATTCATGTTTAGCAGAGAAGATATGTTCATTACTAATACTGATGAAAAGTACACTGTGAGTTCATTATACATATCTCTGAAAAGAAACAAAATTGTTACTGCAAAGTACTTTAGCCTTAATTACAGAAGTTTTCTCTAAAGTAGATATCATCCTCTCTAACTAAGCAATAATTTATAGAGAAAAAAACATGAACGCTCTGAAACTCACAATGGCTACATTTTCTTTACGTCCTAACATTTGAACACTTAGCGATAATCTATTTTATCTTATCACTTCTACTCCCATTAACACATCTTCTACAGTTAATTCACTTCACCCTCTCTCAGTAGGTGGTTTCTTCACACACCGTTTTCTTCTCCTTTTTTTTTTATAGAACTGTCACTGACTGGAATAAATTACTAGAATCAGTGATTTGTTATTCTTCTTTATCATCATTTAAAAGAGCTCTATCTTTACATCTCTTACAGTAAAGTACAGCCATATTTCTAGGCAATCCAGACCCGTGTTAGTTCGTCTTCTTTTATTTTATTTGTTTATTTGATCTGTCAGTCTAGTCTTCTTTTGTCAAATTGTTTTTACTATTTTATTGGCTCGAGTCATTGTTATTACAGGTTGGGGATCTTTGCTGACTCTCACTTATCGTGAATAAATAAATACTACTCTACTATCAGGTTTGCATATTTGTTCGACGATTATGTTTATTGTTTCCTAACTTCTTTTGATTTCGAACAATTCTCTAAACAAAACATTCTTCTCCTGTTTTTTATTTCAACACCATTTCACTTGTATGGTTTATTTCGCTTAGTTTATTCATTTATTTATTATTAAATCAACTATAGTTGACTTGATTCGTGTTTTTTTGGGACAATGCGTCATAATCGAAGTTAGATTGAATGTTAGATTTAATTATTTATTTTATTGGTTGAATGAACTTAATTTGTTTTGAACTGAACAAGTTTTACTAACCAATTGTATTTATGTTTAAGATCTTTTTGCAGATGAGCTGTGAACAAATATTTAGATCAAATCTGAACGAATCATTTCTATTGTTAGCTATTACAAGTAATTCTAGTTATCAAATGACACTATTGTGAGAGAAATAGTGAATTACTACTGACATCTAGAGAAATAGTAACAACTTGTTCCACTGATTAACATGCGTAACGGATATATTTTTTGCAAATATAATAAACAAGTTTTTTATCAAATTTTGTCAATAATCTTGAGTATTCATTTTCCTAGAGTCGTTTTAAGAATAATAACAATGGGGCTTCTAGAAATAGTTAAGTTAAATTATTAATTAAGAGAAAGCAGAAACTTGAATATAGTACTTATTATCTGTTTCTGGTTTTAAATCGTTAAAAGGCGAATTTATTGGTTTTACACTTTTCTGTTTGTCTAGGCGTTAAGCTAGAATAAAATGGAAAAGTTTTCCTAAGCTAGGACAGACGGATGAGAATTTTTTTCAAAATTCGGAATAAATTTGGAAAATTATTTTTCTTCCTTTTGTTTAGCAACTTGCCAGAATGTAGATAAATGCCCCAAAATGAGAGTAAAGTTGGAATAATGGTGAGTTTGAAATAAATGTTTTAAAAAATCTGAGTAAATTACTTTCAATTTTGGAGTAAAAAGTAAGAGCAGAGAGGCTATCTGTCCATCCTTCCACGGTCGCGGCATTTCTAGAATTTCTATGATAATATCTATTCCATGTTCAGACGAAACAAAGAGAAAACTCTATTGTGCAACGCGTAATTCATTTTGATCCTGTTGTTTTTACTCTCTATTAGCCTGATTAAACGTACAGGTCTTCGTGACTTAGGTGGCATCGCGATATATTCGAAACTCTTCCGGAAACTCACTACTTTAATCTTAAAATAAATCAAGTTTAAATAAAAAAGTCAAGCCCATTGCGAACGCAAAAGAAAGCTTCTATTGTGCTTTTTCGTGCAGGAAGAAAAGCTGTGTGTAAGATATAAAGATATCCTTTATTTCTCTTGACAGATATGCTTGTTTCCATTGTCTGCCATTTTTCTTAGTAAACAGAGATAAATAATCAATAGTTGATCTAAGATACTCAGGGCTGCTGCGACCAGTCAGACTTTGGGGAGGTGCTTCATTGCGACAAGAATTTTTTTGTTTCGGACAACGCAAGAAATTTTTTGTTCTACTGGAAAAAATCGAGGATTTTTAACTTTTGGAGGAATATCACACAGTTAGAATTTTTCTGTTCTTCGATCACACAAGTCATCCAAACTTGTCGCGATCGGGTAGCCTTTAGTTCTGAAACTGATGCGGGTGATGGTACCATGGCCCTGAGAAGTCAAAACTATTGAAATTTATGAATTCAGCTTTTATGAGAACAGTAGGTTGTTAACAGCCCATAATGGTGCAGTAACGACCGTAAAACGAACATCATAAAATGTTCATTTTTCGATCTTAATAAAATTGTCACTTTTAGGCATTAAAACGTTCCGAGTTTAAATGCATAAAAATGGTCAAAAAATTATTGTAATGATCTAAAAATATTCGTTGAACAAACATTGGATGGATCATTAATGAGTATTTAATAGACAATTAATTACACCGTTTTTGACGTCCTGGGTATAGTTAAACCTACTATATGTTAGTTTTTGAAATCTGCTACTATTATTAGGCACTCAACATCTTAATTTTGACTGCCTATGATGTTCTATATTATAATTGATTTCTGTTATCAAAATTCAGATTCAATAAATTATTATTAGCTTACAAAATAATTGTAAATAAAAAGTTGTAATATGTTATTGTTGAAAATAAATAACATATACGAATATTTTGATTGTATAAATATTCATACGACAGACAATTAATAATCAAAGACAGATGCCAACTGTTGAGGAGATAATGATTGGCCGAATACAACATCCGACATTTGAGCAAGTGTCTTCTCAAAATCATTTTTTCTCTAAATGAAAAACAGAATAATAGAAATAATCTATCAATCAAAATACATGCAATCGTGATGTGATGATCAGTGGATATGATGATGCATCATTCTGCAACATGCACATGTGTTATTTTAAGTGAAAAATCTATGCAATCGTTGTTCATTTTGTTGCATCGATTTAATCCATGCAAGAACATCATATGTAGCAGAAGAATCGCAATTTCGATTGATCAGACTATTTGTACGACCGATTCAAGTGAGCTGTAATCACTACTACTACAGTGTGGCAAAAGATCATAAATTATCAGGCAGTTACAAACATTTCAAAGCATTTTTCAATATTTTTTCTACATCTTCAGTGTTATATTCTCAGAGAAAAAAAAAAGACAAGCTTTGACTGGCTAAAAGAAAGAAAAAACATCGGGTCATTTAGCATTCACTGCTCTTTTAGATTCTATCTGAATCTTAGAATTTGGTAGGATGAACATACAATTCTTCCATTTATACGTAAATAAAAACTGTTATACAGTTTTATTTTACATAGGAGAACAATTCTAATTAGTCAAATGTCATTTACCCTTTGGTTGGGAAATACTTGTCCAAAGCAAGCTAATAAAAGAGGATCTTCTTTGACAGATGCTCTGAAAAAGTAAAATCAAACTAACAGATCTTCGAAGCGACTCTTTATCTCCTAACTCACGTGAAATCGCCATCACCAAGACGATTATCATGATCTTTGTCCTAGAAATAACAAGAACAATTTACATAAATCTATATGCAAGCATGTAACTTCTACTTCTTGTACATTTACCATTTTTTTCAAAGTTATTTCAACGAGTTCTTTTATACTTTCATCTGGATCTTCATCACCGGCTTGCTAAAAGAAAAAAGAAGAGATCAAATAAATCTATTAAATGTAAATAATAATATTTACTTTCAACACACTGCTTTTGAGTAATTGAAAAATTTCTTCACGTGTTATATGTTTTTCTCCTTTTAACGAATAACAATTAAACGCAACTAAAAATAATATTTGAATTGTTCTACATAATCTATTGTTGTTGTTATTGTTGCTTGATATAGATTGATCTTACATGCTATTTTTTCATCTAATGTTCCTCGAAGATATGTATTTAAACCAACGACCCATTCCAACATATTTACTTGACCATCGTTGTCACGATCAAATGCTTTAAAAACTGAAAGAGAAAGAGAGTACACAAAATCAATCAACTTACTATCGTCGGCATTCACCTCTATCCATTAGAATATCGTCTGTCATATCGAATGTGTTATTTAAAATATCTCTAAATCGATTACGATCAATTTTATCAGCATTTTTTGTCAAATGACGAAATATTGTACACAGTGACTCTATTTCTTGTTTTGAAACTGAAATACAGAAGAAAACATATCATTTAACATCTCATTTGAAGTTATTCATTTTCTCACAGTGAAACTTTTCATTTCGTCTCTTTGCCACTTCATCCAAAACATATTGAACCGCTTTTCGTGAAACTGGTGGACCATGTCCATGGCTGATGCTTTCGAGTTTCTAAAACGAATGATAAACACCTACTATAGTTGTATAGAAAAATAAACTATGTGATACCCATGTATGACGACTATGGACTTTTCTAATAGCTGTTGCATCATTATGTTGAGCAGAACGAATATTTTTATCTTTTGCAGACGACATGGCAGTTTTGGTCTAAAAAACAAAGCAAAACATAAAAATATGCTATTTTGTAAAAAATTAGTAATTTAATGATGGTTATACGATGGTCTCATTCAGTAAGGAGTGGTATACTTTTCTCTTCAATACGAAGGACACTCATATCAGTCTGGTGAATTTCTATTTTTAAATTAATCAAAAACCATTTATAACTTACAAGCATTACTTGTCTATTATTATCTGAAGTTAAACTTCAGATAAATTGATAGCGTAGTGAAAATCATAGATTCGAACAACATATACTAGTTACGGCTGAGAAGTGATATTTTAACAATCGTTCTCGCTGAATTCATCAAGGAGGCTGGATTCAAATAAGGATGTAACATCCCATCGACAATAACCAATTAACCGAAAATTTCCAAAACAATTTTTTTTGTTGTTACAAAAAAATAGGCTTAATTCGATTTGACTAACAATCTTTAGATACTACCGCATCTATATAGCGACCATCACTTTTTTCTCGTCAATATCATGTTAATTAACAACTACAGTTTGATAGAGAGACAATAGGAACTATTAGTAGAAGCGAATATTTTATTCACTTAATTTGAATTTATTTCTGTTAAGCATTACATGGTTATCAGAAAAAAGAAAAACTTGTGTGGACATGACGTCGAAAGAAAGAGAATGAAAAATAAACTAAAAAATACAATGGTCAAATAACCATCATTATACCTGACGATATTGCTTCAATGAATACCGTTTTAAAATATTGTCGATTGATTGCTTGATTACAGTCGAGGAGGGCATATCCCACTTAATGACAGTTTGGGGAAAAAAAAGTCGCAGAAACAGACTTAGAGTATAAAGAGTTTCCTATAGATTTATGGCGAGAAGTTGTGATATAGAAAGAGAGAATAAACGTAGAGAATATAACACATTTTTCCTCCTGTAAACTTTATAAAAATATGAAAAACCGACTGAAGACAAGAGGAAAGAGACAACAACTTGATTTTAAATAGAAAAGAGTTAGCTATTAGCATAATTTTTAGAAATAATTTTACTAACTAATTCTTGAAGCCTAAATGACCTGTATAAGATAGTCATAAATCTGTACCGGAGGATAGAGTGCACACAAGTTTTGCATTGATGGAAATGTAGAAAAGTAGATGTATCATGGAAAGTCGATTCCAGTATTTTACCACAATTAGAAGCATCACTGTTAATGTGACAATTCCACGTTAATTCTAGATTAGAGACCTGCAACCCGATCCGAGCCTAGGGTCGGATCTGTGTTGAACCTTTTGCGGCGCAATTCAAAATATAGATAATAATTTCAATTTTGTATTACTCTTTGACTTAAAAATGATCTCTATTGGAGTTTTCAGTTAAAATACTTATTTCACAATAACCGCATCTACAAAGCCGATTAGTGATTACTTTCTTTGCATACAAGGTGGTCGACAGTAGGATCGGCTTCGGGTTACGCTTTCTTAACCGGTGCAGACCTCTATTCCAGATTAGATAATCTTAAAAATTTTAGTATACACAATAGTGGCATTATTTAGTAATATATAAAAGGCAGGGAGAGGATCAGTTCATTGATGTAGAAAAATTTTCACTTAGCTAGCCTGGTTGTTAAGAAATTCCTCGGTGCACCGCAGACATTTGATGATTAATGATCTCCATCTTCTTGAATAGTAACCTTTTTTAGAAGCCTGTTTTTTACTTAAATTCATAACTATAGTGACAGAGAACATGTATTCATTATGGCAACGAATGCATTTAGTCTTAGTGGAAATCTCATGCGCATTTTTCTGCAAAAACCAACGAAATGAAAATAAATAGTAAATAAAATAAGTAATGTTGCGCTATTACTGCATCATAATAAAAGCGTCCAGATATTAGTTCTATTTGAGAGCACCTAAATAGAAGTTGAACACTTTATGACATAAAATCGTGACTTTATAACACACATACCACACAAATAGTAGATCAATAAGTCACTGGTGATTATTATGAAGAAATCATTCTACCCATTTAGTATCGTATATCCACCAATATAAAGAATCATAATCTTTAATTTCTTAACTTGACTCAATAACAACAAGCAGTGATCAATTAAAGTCAATGAATTTTTTAGTTTTGCATTTCACATCCAACAAAATATTGATGAGCTTGTTATGATGAAGTTTTGCAAAGTTGTAAGCAGAGTTGGTAATTTACATTATAACTACTTCCGCCATTATAGACGATATTATACAACGATGAATAATAGAGATAAGAATTGGACAGGCTATGGAAGCTTTTATTGAGAACAGAAAAATAGAAAAACTTTGATTCACATACTGTACTAAGGATTCTAATAGCGAAACACACTATTTTACTTACAAGAGTACAAATCTTTCAATAATACCACTGAATTAAAAACCGTAAATCATCATGGCTAGGCATATATTTCACTACATATATATCAATATGTTTTTTTGTTCCAAAACTTGAAATGAACAAACAACCAAACTAAAGATCGTGAAAAATCCAGCCCTGGCCTTCTCGAATCATCGAGTACTATTTCCGCTTCGTCCTAAAAAGTATGTTGTTGAAATCAACTACTTTCTTTACTCAATGTTTAATTAACTTAACTTTGTTTTCAACATGTAAGTTTATGAAGCAGCTTCTTCTCCGGTCATAGATGCGTGCGACTTCGCTTTAAAAGCATTTTTTTATAAGTCCTAAAATACACCACAGTCAATACGCAACGCATTGTCTGACAAGGAGTTTGGATACTAACATGTCGTTCATCCTCCCCATAGATTATCCAGCGTAACTAGAAATAACTTTTTGTTTGAAAGGATAACATTTTCCCGGCAAACTTTTAACGTACCGACTTTTCAAAATTCGCTTCTGTTCCAGAGAAAAGAGAAATGTTATTGGTGTTAAATATCGTTATTTGTGGATTTTTAACTTGAAATGTATGTCAAAAAGCAATATAAACGTCACACTAAGCAAAAACTAGATATAAGTATCTAGACCATATCACCGGATCGAAAAATTTTTAAAGCTCGTTCGGTCAAAACCGATTATAAATTCGTCTTCTTTATGGTCGATTACCTGGTACGCAATAACTTCTGGGTCGGGATACTTTAGAAAAATTTGTCGACATTCTTTTGCCTTTGGTAGTTTGAGCAAGATTATGAGAATTTTTTTTCTGAAGTATCCCGATCCAGAAGTTATTACGTACCAGATAATCGATCATAGAGAAGATGAATCTGAAATCGGTTTTGACCGAACAAGCGCTGAAATTTTTTCAATTCGGCGATATGATTTTAACTCCACACAACAGCTCCATGATTTTGCCAGATGTCTCGTGCTGATTCTTGCTGCCTATAAATAATTCTTGAATTTCATAAATGTTTCGAGTTGAACTTTTTTCCTAATCTACCAGCATGAATATTTTCTGAAAATTAGACTAAGATGGGATGGATACACAGTATGGAAAAAGACTTCGTGGGAGGGTTCTCCGTGTAGCAAAAAACGAAACAAACATTCCCAAACATTTCTATTTGTAATTTCTATTGGTGTGACTAAGACTTATGACTACGAATTAAACGTAAAATTCATTATGAAAATGTGTATACCTGAATTACCATAAATACCGTCTAATGCCTAGCATTACCGCTATTAGTTTTGTGAAACTTCGTATAATGAGTATGATCAGAAGAAGCAGAATAATCACCATACGGGTGTAATACTAGATCACATGAATCTCTTTTTTCCTGTTTGTGGGAAGAGTGATTGTAGCACCCTCTCTTTTTTGTTGTACCTTCTAATTTGATAATCTCATCCAATCAAGAATCAATCCCAAAAGACTCATTTAGACGTATTTCTGACCGATAGTTATCCTATATTTTTCAGTTTCCTAATAGTCAGTCAAGCAAGGTTGTTTTCCGCTAGCCGTCAGAAATAGCCGTCAGGAGCCACTTTCTACATGAAAAGACGTAGAAAGTAACTCCTGACGGCTATCTTTGACAACTAGCGGAAAACAACCGTCAGCAAAGAAAGTAGAAGACGATACCATACGCAGTATTCCGGATGAGAATTTATTAAACGAAAAAATTAAGTGAAGGGGAAAATTTTGTATATCAAACCCGAGAACAATATAGAATTTGATCTTCTCAAACTATCGACTGACAGTTGTTTTTCAAAAGTTGTAGTTTCGCCTGAAAAAGCAAATTATTTTTGTCTCGCTCCGGAGTACATCTTAATATAGACGATGTTCACCGAAACACTTTTAGAAATGACGTGACTAGTCCCTTATTAGCACATCCTTATAGAAAGTACAAACAAACAATCTGCAGGGGCAGTGTACAGAAATAATAAGAATAATTGATCAAAAAGCAAATTTAGGACTTCTTGGGTACGAGTGTCATTATCTATATTTACTGCCTAGCTCTTGTTCCAGCAAAATAATGAGCTATGCTTTAGCTGCTGGTTTGATGATTTTTATTGGAATACAGTAGGTTTTTCTGTGTTCGCATCATAAAGAATAACCAAGAATATGAAAAACGCAAATTAGACTTAGTTTATTGCATGATTGTATCTGATGAAATCAGTTTATAAGTATTAAGTTGGTTTACTAATTAAAGCATACCTTATTTCAAATCAGGGTATTTTCAATAATCGGTCAGAAGCTTAACAATGATCATTTCCTAACTGCAATCTTCCAGTAGGCTTCAAAACAGAACAATTCATCGGCATAAAAGATGGATGTTGCCGGGCCTCATGGTTGAATATGTTTTTGAAGTAGAAACCACGATGGAACAACGTTAAATTGTAGGAACGATAACATGGATGGTCAAATTTTGAAACGTGGTGTGAAAAACGAAAATATAACGGATGTCTCTGGAGAAAGTGTTAAATAAAATAATACTCCGATTGATGCAATAAACACTGGCAGTCGCACAATAACTTTAAGGATGGATTTCTGCTTAAATCCCACCGGTGTACCACTTCAGTTGATAATCGATGTAAAAATATGTTTTCCTCATAATCGTTTCTTCAATTCATTGATATTTTCTGCGCTGTTTTAGTATATTGATGCATTTACAACTATAAAATATGTCTTTTTACAAGAAACTATAAAGTAAATAGGAATTTAGCGATTAATCCTTTTTCTAATGTGCTTTTTGATACGGATTTTCAAAAACAAAAGGCCATATATTA